GCATCGAAATTTAAAAAATGATGATGATGATGATGATGATGATAATAATAATAATTAGAACGATGACAAAGGATATGAGATTAATTTACGTTCAAATATTTTGGCATTGTTAAAAATAAAAAATTTCTTTCCCGATGAAAAGTTTACAAAAAAAAAAAAAAAAAAACATTTTAAAAATTATTTTTCGATTGGTTTTCCGCCCACGTTTTAATGGGTTTAAATGTTTTTAAAAACAAAAAAAGAAAAAAAATGCAGCCAACTGCATAAAAAAAAAACAAAACAAAAAAATTTTTTGTTTTTGTTTCGAATTTTTAATAAATAGCGACAGACGAAAATTTTATGAGATTTTTAACATTTTTGAAAAAAAAAATAAAAATAAAAATGAAGCGGAAGAAGAAAAATAAAGGAAGGTCGAAAAAGTCAAAGAAATAAAAATAAAGAAGCGGAAGAAGAAAAAGAATTGGAGGTTGTAATACCAAAGGAAAAAAAAATAAGTTGAAGAAAGAAACAAAAAGAAGGTTCAAAAAGCCAAAGGAAAAAAAAAGAAGTTGAAGAAAGAAACAAAAAGAAGGTTCAAAAAGCCAAAGAAAAAAAAAATAAGTTGAAGAAAGAAACAAAAAGAAGGTTCAAAAAGCCAAAGGAAAAAAAAAGAAGTGGAAGAAGAAAAAGAAAACATGGTTGAAAAAGCCAAAAGAAAAAAAAGAAGAAGTGCAGGAAAAAAAAAAGAAGGACGAAAAAGCCAAAGGAAAAAAAAAGAAGTGTAAGAAGAAAAACAAATGGAGGTTGAAATGCCAAAGGAAAAAAAATCGTAAAAGCCAAAGTAAAAAAAAATAAGTTGAAGAAAGAAAAAGAAAAGAAGGTTGAAAAAGCCAAAGGAAAAAAAAAAGAAGTGGAAGAAGAAAAAGAAAACAAGGTCGAAAAAGCGAAAGGATAAATAAAAGCAAGGCCGAATTAAAAAAGGATAAATAAACGTAAACATTTGTTAGAGAAAAAATTAAGGAAAAAAAAGTCGTGGCAGTAGAATAATTTTGTTTTCAAGTATATTAATTTTAACGATTTTCCAAAAATTCTTATGATATGAAAAATAAAAGGAAAAAAAGGAAAATTTTGGAAAAGTTTAACAATTAAATGTAACACGTACGACTTATTTTAAATACACGTCAATTTTTTTTTTCGGTTAATTTTGATTGACGGAAACTACATGTGGGGGGGGGAAAAATGGCGCGAGGATATTAATCCGTTTAACACGTTAAAGGCGTTGATGAAAAGTTTTTTTTTTCTGTTATAAACAATAAAACGTGGATTTAAACGTCTTGAGAGAGAGAGAAAGGGAGAGAGAGAGTGAAAAAGAGACAGAGAGTGAGAGAGAAAGAGAGAGAGAGAGAGAGAGAGAGAAGCGAACGACAGATTTTTAAAAATTTGGATTCTCTTCAAATTCTCGTTTTTTTTTTTTTTTTTTTTTTTTTTTTTTTTTTTACTTATTAAGAACAAAACCGTTAAAACGTTGTTCAGGTAGAGGGTTAATTACTTAATTAATTAATTAATTAACGTCAATCAAATCGCGTCATAAACGAGTCGTGATATGCTAAAAATGTCTTCGTAAAATTTCTTACAAAAATATAAAAAAAAAAAATGGCGGAGGTTTAAATAAATAAATACGAATCGAAACCTTATATATATATATATAGGAAAACTCGCGGATTAAATATTACCGGATAAATCGTTTACCTTTAACCCGCCCCCTCTCCCCCTTTTTCCCCTTTTTTTCCAGAACGAATCTAACTGGAAAAAAATAAAAAATTTCCAGCGTTTTAAACGGGTTGTGCGTGCGTACGTACGTCGGTTGATTTATTTATTTATTTTTTTAAATTTCGGTTTTTTTTTTTTTTATAAACGTTTTTTTTCCTTTTTTCCCAGCCCCCCCTCCCCCTTTCCCCCTCCACCCACATCCCACGTACTCTTACCTAATAGAAACGATGGTATGATTATGTTTTCCCGGTAAAATTCCATCGTCTAAATAATTTTTTTTGATTGACGCCATTTTGTTTTTCCATGACCTCTTCTTTAGTCATTCACGATTATTATCATCATCTTTCGTACTCGTTTTATCTTTTTTTTTTTTTTACATCACATTCCAGATTTAAATTCGTCTTTTATTATTTTTCTCCAGAAAAAAAAAAAAAAACTTTTATGATGGAATCTGGAGTCATTAAAACAAAAAAAAAAAAAAATTAAACGCATAAGTTAAATATATAAAATTATCGTTATTATACTGTACGGTGGTGATGGTGGTGATGGAGTACGTTCAAAAATTTTCAATTTGTTTATTTACTCTATGCCTTTGTTGTTTTAAAACCATTTGTAAAATTATTATTTTCTTACACTTTTTTTTTCGTTTTTCTCGCGATTCTTCCCGAAAAATTTTTTTTTCCCTTATGGTATTCTATTTAAATAATAATAATAATAATAATAATTAGTAGTAGTAGTAGTAATGATAATAATAATAATTTTATTAGGAAAAATTCAACGTTAAATACATCATAACACGTGGACGATGGGTGGAAAAAATACCAAAACCATAAAATTATCGAACGCTCAAATTACACACACACACACGCACACGCAAAAAACGTGGCAACAGCCACACAAAAAAAAAAAAAATTAAAAAATTTATTTTTTTTTTTAATTTTCGAAAGTGTGTCAGTGAACTTTCGAAGAATAAAAAAAAAAAAACCGAACATTACAATTGCAAAACAATTTTATTTTTTTCAACTCTCATCGTTTTACAACAAATTTTTTTTATTAAAATAACGTCGCGTTTGCCAAAAAATTTAAAAAAAAAAAAAAATTTAATTACACGACTAAAACATAGTTCACCGACGGTAAAAAAAAAAAAAAAACCGTTTATTATTATTATTATTATTCGTACGGGAAATAGTTATAATAAATAATAATAACATTTTATTACCTGCGCGTAATTTTTTTTTCTTATAAAACGATGACGTAGGAGATGGAACGTGATACGATTATGTTAATCAAGATTATGTAATAAAACAAACATGTTAACAACAACAACAACAACAACAAAATGACCGTTAAAAATGATAATGATGATAATGACGATTGTAATGAATTTAACAATCGGGTTTTTTTTTTTTTTTTTTTACCCAAAAGAAAAGAAAAAAGGTTACTGACTCATTCTGTAAGAATGAAAAGGGGGTGGGGAGGGAGGGTGTGCGTGTGTGATTGAATTACAACAACAAATTTTGTAATATTGATAATAATAATAATAAGTTTAAAAGTTTTGTTAAAATTTGATAACCGATTAATATTATACGTAAGGTTAAAGACCCCTTTATCAATCTTTATTATTGTATCTTATTTCCCCCTCCCACCCCCCTTTTCGTAAGGGTTGATAATAGTTTTACGATGAATAAATAATGGCGTCGACGTAAAATCAAAGAAGTCCTTGTCGTAAATGTTAAAGAAAAAAACGTGTCGTTAGACAATTTAGACAAAAAACGTTTTTTCGAAAAAACCCGGGCCGGTAGTATAATATATATTTTATATTATTAATTTATTTTTATTTGCTATATTGTTACGACATAATTAATAACATTATTTAATTTGCACAAAAATGATTTTCCTTTTTTCAACAACTTCCGCCGGAAAACATTTACGTGTGTAAAACCACAATCCAAATTCAAGGATTTCAAGTTAACCGCCAAATAAACGAACCAATCAAATTTACGAATAAACGTATCAACCAATCCTCTTTCAGTATGATTCCCATAAGAAAATACGTATTAAACTTCACCTAGCGGATTTTTAAATAACTAATTTTCAGACAAGATGGCGACTTTATTGATTCTTGACAATTAGCTAATAGCGAATGTAATTTTTTTGTAATTTTTTATATTAATTTGAACATTTCGATATAGTTTACGTAATATAAAACCGTCAATGAAAACTTATTAAAGTAACAGGTGAGGAGTTTTTTATAAATTAATTCGTATTTTATTATTTAAAAAAAAAAAAAAAATTTTTTTTTTTTTCATACAATGTAATTATTTAATAAGTTTTCTGAATGTGAGAATCGATCCGTTCGAAACTAAAAATATCTTTAATATTTTATATTAGGGGCACATTGTCAATGTCATTTCGTTTATTTTTTTCCACGGTAATCGACTGCTCTACATAAAATTTTCAAATATTTTTTATTTTCGCCCTTTTTTTTTTTTTATCAAAGGCTACAACGTTATCGGTGTCTAAGGTTCTTTGTGTTTCTATATGAAAAAGAGGGAGGAGAGGGGAGGGAGAAACTAAATTTCAACCGTCGAAATGGTAGAAATATATAATTTTTTTTTTTTTGTAATGTCAGCCCAAATATTTATTAGTCCATGGTCGATATAAGTCACCTGAAATAAAATGTACGATCAAAAATAACTAGTAGTAAATAGGTGACTTCCATTTTGAATGGTTTGTAAAAAAAAAAAAAAAAGATTTTTTTTTTCTTATGCACTAGACTTACTTAATAATAAATTTAAAAGTCATTATTATTAATGTTAAGAATAATTTGATTAAGTGTTAATAAATGTTAATCGTTTAGTTTTTTTTATTTTTTATATATACATTTCAGTGGTCGAGCTTACAATCATCACCACTGAGAGAGAGAGAGATATATATAGAACTGTGTTATATGTGTTTTCCTGGGAAATGACTAATGTGCTAAAATTCAAAATTTAATTTAATTTTTTAAACAACCATTTTTGTTACACGCCATCGTTTAAACATTGAAAAAATTTTTTAATATTTAATTTAAGGTTAAATATTTTATGCTCGAATGATGATGATGAAAAATTTTAATTATTATATGATAATGTTATCGATTTTAATTTTTTTTTTTCAGGAAAAAAGATGGCAATTCATATACATATTCGAATAAGTACATAAAAAAAAAAGTCGGTGACGAAAGCACTGATCAAAATAACAACATCAAAATGACTTCTGAAGATCTTTTGCAACCCGGTCATGTCGTCAAAGAAAGATGGAAAGTGGTATGTCGAGTTGAAATGTTTCTTTTTCTTTATAGAATAAGGTTTTTTATCCGATTGTGTGAAATATTATTTCTGAAAAATTTTTTTCAAGGTACGAAAAATTGGTGGAGGAGGTTTTGGTGAAATTTATGAGGGGTTAGACTTAATTACAAAAGATCAGGTTGCTTTAAAAGTGGAATCCGCTCGTCAGCCAAAACAAGTTTTAAAAATGGAAGTTGCAGTACTTAAAAAGCTTCAAGGTTTGCGTGTTAAGAAACTTGGACTGTGTTTAAAAAATAAAAAGAAATCAGTTGTTAATGTTTTATTTAATTTTAATGTTTTCTAATTTAGGAAAAGAACACGTTTGTAGATTTATTGGCTGTGGAAGGAACGACAGGTTTAATTATGTAGTCATGCAGCTTCAGGGTAAAAATTTAGCCGAACTGAGACGAAGTCAACCCAGAGGTGCTTTCAGTTTGTCAACCACTCTAAGATTAGGATTACAAATTTTAAAAGCCATCGATTCAATTCATCAAGTCGGATTTTTACATAGAGATATAAAACCAGTGAGATATAATTAATTTTTTTTTTCTCCCCCCCCCCCCTCTCTCTTAAACGTTTCGCGCGCCCTTTTTAAAAAAAAAAAAAAATCCCGTTTGTTTTTTTTTTACAGAGCAATTTTTCAATAGGAAGACTTCCAAATAATTGTAGAAAAGTTTACATGTTAGATTTTGGTTTAGCTCGGCAGTACACGACGGCAACGGGAGAAGTAAGAGCTCCAAGAACGGCAGCTGGTTTTAGGGGGACCGTTCGATATGCTTCTATAAATGCGCACAAAAATAAAGAAATGGGTCGACACGATGATTTATGGAGTTTATTTTACATGCTCGTCGAATTTGTCAATGGTCAATTACCGTGGAGAAAAATCAAAGATAAGGAACAGGTACGGAAAAAAATTTTTATTATCAACCGTGATATTAGTACCTGATTTTTAATCGTTGATCATTTTTCGAATAAAAAAAAAAAAATTGTTTGCGTTTAGGTCGGATTGATGAAAGAAAAATACGATCACAGGTTATTATTGAAACATCTTCCAAGCGATTTAAGACAATTTTTGGATCACATACAGTCGTTGGAATATGCAGATAAACCGGATTATAACGTATTGATATTTTATTTAATCTCTTTTTTTTTTTTTTTTAAAAAAAACCTTTTTTAAATGCGAATGTGTGCGAATGTTTTTAGATGTTAATCGGTTTATTCGAAAGATGCATGAGACGTCGCGGAGTGAAAGAAAACGATCCTTACGATTGGGAGAAAAAGATTTTGAGCGTGGATACAAACGACAGCAATGCACAAACAACGAACAGTCCTGCTTTAATAACGAGACCGGCAACTCGAATCACCGACAATTTGTTAGACGACAATCTTATATGCACTTTTGACAACAATCAAGAAAACATCGAGCCGGACAATAGAAAAGAATTGGTAAAAAAAAAAACAATTCGTTATTGTGTACCTTAAACATATGTTTTCGAAAACGATGATTTTCTAAATGTTTATTATTATTTTTCAGGCTCAAATTGATTTTGAATGCGTGAGCTCTCGTCGTGGAAACGCTCACACTCAAAATGTTTTAACAGTGGAAAGTAATGCTGCGACTCCGGATCAACATCCACAAAAACTTGTTATCGACAGGAATTGCAACGCTACATTACCCGTCAACAGTGAGTTTAACACCCATGTACAAGGTACAACCCTCAGTGTTAGTTAGCTTATTATTTTGCTTCGTCCTGAATAAATCCTCGCTTCTTTTTTTTTTTTTTTCGTTTTATCCGTAGTAACTGTAGTGCTTTTTTCCCCCAACGCTGTTCTTTTCGTTTAAAAAAAAATCTCGATTCTTTTTAAATTTATTTTGTTTTTTTTTTGAAAGGATCTCCTAAAAAACAAACTCAACGAAGGCGTGCGATGTCAATGGCGACTGAAACACCAATAGGAAATTCAACCGATAAAAAAGTTGATTTCGAAGGGGATGCCGTCATGGCAAGCGCGACTAGTAATTCGGACAAAGTTAGAAAAACCGTACTTCAAAGTCCTCCCAACGTTCACACTCCGAGAAAAGGAGGTAAATTTAAATTTAAATTTACACGAATTTAATTTTTAAATGAAATTTTTAAATGATTAAAATTTTTTTTTTCGTACGCAGGTAGTCCTTACGTCAGAACAAAAGTTGCAACTGCTCCGCCAACGTGCGTTCAAGAATCGAAACCTTCCGCGGAAAATGTTAATAATCACGTGGAAACGGCAACGCATCAATCACCGGATTTCCCAACTAGTCCTAGATTAAGAGAATCGGCAACGGATTTGGAATTTTCGTTTCAGCCGTCAAAACCCAATAGTATGAAGTTTTTTTTTCTTTGTTCTAAAGTAATTCATTTCGATCAATTTAATTAAAATTAAATTTTTTTTTTTTTAGGTATTTTAGGTAATTCTCCGGTGACCGAGAGTCGTGAGCCTTTCAAAGAAAGATCATCTCGATTGAGACGAATAGGTAGTTCGAACGTGAGGCCCATGTCTTGTAAATTAAATAATCGTGATTGTTCAATCACTCAATTTGCTGTGATCGACGATGAAAACGTGTCGGCTTTGCAACAAGTCACTCGCGGAGGCGGCGGATTAACTTTGGCAAGTCAATGGAAATCCCAATTTGATGATTCCGAAGAAACAGACAACGAATGGAAAGGTGAACACCTTCAAAGTCCGGAGCATAGACTTCACTCAACTAATCAGGTGCAAAAATGTTTCACTGTAAATTTATAATTTTATATAATGTTATAAGTTGCGTGCTAATTTTTCGTAAAAAAAAATGATTTCAGACTCAATTTCCAAATGAAATATACTCTAATCAAAATCAGTTACCAAATAAACAAGCAGTCGTTAGTCAAACAAATAGTAGTTTAGTTAATGATAATGTGACGGTCGGTAAAAACGGTCCTGTAGAATTATCTAGAATTAGCGACGAATCTCGTCATCAGTCATTTCAGGTAACGTCAATACATCATTCTAAACAAAAAAAACAACAGGAGGAACTTGCAAAAGTTTACGTTAAATTATTTTGAATAACTCGCAGGGACATGAAAAAGTGTTACCCAGTACTCGTGGAAGCAACGAAAGAGGAGATGGGAAAAAACAACAGAAACAGCAAAAACACCAAACTCATAATCATCATCACCACCACCACCACCACCATCATCATCACCACCAAAATAATCATAATCAACAGCAAAAAATTCAAAACAAAACATCAAAAAATAAAAAGTGCTTAAACATTGCTGGAATAGAATATTTTCCAGAGATTCAATCGATTCTACCGAGAGCGTGGAGTCTACCAGAAATTACTATTAAACATAGGTAATGAGAAAAAGAGGGGGAAAAAAAAAAAATGGCTCCATGTTTATCACGTCAAAAAAAAATTAATTTTTACGTTTTTTAAGGAAAAATCTCGAACCTCCATATCTACAGCAGGCTTCTTTCGACGACATCGTTTACGAAGTCGACATAATGAGAAATATTGCCGTGAGAAGGAAGCAGGAGGAAAAAGTTGTGTCGGAAAAGCATTTTAGCCTTCCCGTGAGTTTTCCGATTCGATTCGTTCCGGTTGATGATCCTTCGTTAAAATATCCCTGATTTAATGTAATTTTTTTTTTTTTTTTATATAAATTTCAGGACGTTGGTTTAAACAGTTGCAAAAAATTAAGGATCTCACCTGGTAAAACGGAAAGTTCGTCTGTGAGTAATAAAAAAGTTTTAAATAGATCTTCAATTAGTTTTAAAGAAGGAGAAGAAAAAAATGGGATTCCGAATACGAATGCGAAATCATCGGAAAAGGAAAAAAAATCTCCGTCGAAAGATGAAATCAGTACTCTGATGACGGCTGCTGGGGAAAATCAAAGCAACTGCCAAGAAAATGGTACTTGTTGTTAAAAAAATTTTTTTTCTATTACCACGTTTTTTTTTCTTTCTTTCTTTCTGCTTACCCGAACGAATCGTTTACAGGCAATGTCGCAGCGGACGAAGAAAACGAAGAAGAGGAAAACGTTATGGAACCTGTCGCGGGAAGATTAGAAATAAGAGTCGTCGACAAAGGGGAAGGTTCGGCTGTTGTCGAAACTTTAAATAATAATTTATCGGTGACCGGGAGCAAATCTCATATGCAAAAAAGTAACTTTTTGTTTGCCTTTTTAAATTTTCTCAAAGGAAAATTTTCTCGAATGTTTAATGCAAATTTAAATTTTCAGGGCGGAGTCCTCCAGCGAGTCCGGGAGTCATTCAAGATGATCCCTCTATTTATTTCGATGCGACAGAAGAAGACAACAATATACATCCGACGGAAAATAGCAATAACAATTTAGAGGTGAGTAAAAAAAAAAAAAATTGATTATTACAAATGAAAACGACAGAAAAAACAAATCGAAATGTTTGCTGTTGTTGTTGTTGTTGTTATTTCCAGGCAAAAAAATTAATACCCTGTTTATCGCCGGTTTTGGAAAGGAACACACAGGAAGAACAAGGAGGGATAAGAGAGAAAAAATTGACGACGCCGCCTAAAATTAGTAAAATCCCAGTTTTAGTCGGTAAAAGTCCGAAATGTAGTTTGAGCGAATCTCTAACGGAAAATACCAGGTAAGGTAGGGTAGGTTTGACGTCATCAAAGCCACGTGGGATTTCCCGTGCGTGCGTGCGTGAGTGCGTAACGTCGTATTTTTTTTTTCCCCTCCAACAGAAATTCAGACGAAATCAGTTTAAATCCACTTTCGCGTTTGAAAAAATCCGAAGAACAATCGATACCATCTCCTCTGAGACGATGTCAAACGATGCCGGATGCGAGAATCAAACACGATTCTCTGCAGGGAAATACCGGAAGTTCGACGGAAGACGACCAACAGCTAACGGGTTCGATTAATATTTTCCCGTCGGCATGCGTGTCGAGTCGTGCATTCATTTTTAAATTACATTTTTTTTTTTTTTTTTCAAAGGTTGCACACCCGCGTTGAGAAGGCGGCGACAACAGGATAAGTACGTAACGGATCAGAGTCAATTAAATTTAAGGTTTAATCGTCCTTGTCGTCGAACTCGTCCGATATCCGAACTAGTCACAACATCGAATAGCATTAGGTATATATATAAACCTTCTTCTCCTTCCAGAAATGTTTTTTCGCTCGAGTTAGGGGGTAAATAGTAGTTTTAGTTTTTTGTATTTTTTATTATTATTATTATCATCATTAATTTTTTTTTTGTTTTAATGAACTGGAATGAAAATTGATAAAAGATCTCAAGTTCCAGTTTTGAATTTTTTTTTAAATTTAAATTTAAATTTAATTTAATTTAATTATGCTGTCGTCGTAAAATACGAAAACGGCGATAAAAAATTTTTGTGTTTTTCTTATTCGTTTTACAACTAGGGCGTTTTCATTTGACCGTCGGGGAAGTAGGGAGGGGTGTGTGTGTGTGTGAATTATTAATGCCACGTCACAAAGTAACTTTTGTCGTCGACAACTTGTCGACTGGGATTTTGCATGATTCGGATAATGAAAACGGGTTTAAAATTAAAAAAGACGTGGCATTAACCTTTTTTTGCGGTTCGCATTTGTTCGCACGCATGTCAGAATTAACTTCCTATGACTTTCCCTTTTCTCTCTCTCTCTCTCCCTCTCTCCGTCTCTCTCCTTTTCAATTTTAAATATGACGTCATGACTCTTTCATATTTTTTATGTTTTTATCAGATTTGTGAGGAAAAAAAGAATAATAATAATGATTTGATAATTTGTTTTTTGTCAGCGGAATGAACAAACCTCCACCGAAAGAACTCAGAGGGATATTCACACGTTTGTTACTTAATTCGGGAAACGCGGATGAATCGAGCGAAGCCGAGAGCGACGGAAGCGTGGGAGAAAACATGACACCTCATCCACCGTCGGAATTGCCCGCAAAAGCCGGTGAAAATCGCGCGAGATGGAGAAGATTTTATCCCGTAGCCGAAATGTAAAGTAATTAATAATAATAATATTAATAATATTAATAATAATAATGTTCCTAACCGGACTCATCGGAAAGCAGAAGAAGAAACGAAAAAAAAGAGAGAGAGAGAAAAAAAAACTTTTCTTTTTTTTTTTTCTTTTTCTAATTTTAAATTTAATTTAATTTTTTTTTATATTTCTTCCTTTGACTTCTATTACTTTTACTTTTTTATTTTATTCTTATGGTAATTTTATCATTAATATCATCATCATCATCATCATTATCATTATTATTATCATAGTCGTCGTCGTCGTCGTTTATCCTTATGCTTTTTCATTTGTAAATAAAATTTGTGTGTGAGAGAGAGGGAGAGAAGGGAAGAAGAAGAAGAAGGAGGAGGAGGAGGAGGGAAAAAACTAAATAATAATAATAATAATAATAATCTTTCTTTACTTTTCTCAACGGTATCAGTATTTTATTTTCAAAATAATAATAATAATAATCCGGGCTGAACAGAAGGATTCGGACTGAACAGTAGTATTGGGACTGAAAACGTTTCAACTCAGTATATAATACAAAAAAAAATTTTAATAATTTTATTTATTTTATTAATATTATTGTTATTATTATTATTATTATTATTATTATCGTTTTTGTTTGTTTTCGAATTCTGGAAATGAAAAGAAAAATGTTGTCTCATATCACTACCGTTTGTTTTGTTTGTTTTTTGTTTGTATTTCCGGAACGTAAAAAAAAATTGTTCGAATGAAAGCAAATAAAATAAAATAATTTTTTTTTTTTTTTTTGAACGAACGAACGCGTTCGTGTCTTCCAGCCGCGATATATGTATGCGTGTGCGTGTGCGTGCGTGCGTGTGTTTTCTTTGTGTGTCATCTCTGGATAAATGTGGCGTGTTTAAAACAACGACTGGAAAAAATAGGAATGGGAATAGGAGAAGGAGAAGAGAAAAAAAGTTTTTTAATTTTTTATTTATTTATTTAACGTTTTAAAAAAAAAATCTAAGGTGTTATCATTATTATTATTATTATTATTTGTTTTTCTTTTTTTTATTACTCGTGATAAGTAATAATAATAATAATAATAATAATAATAATTTTTATCTCATATATTGCTTGAGCGATGAAAATTAAATAAAAAAAGTTAAAGTAAAGACTGATTTTTATTTAAAACGCTTTTTCATCTTTCTCTCTGTCTCTTTCTCTTTCATTCTTTCTTTCTCTCTATCTCTCTCTTTCATTCTCTCTCTCTCTCTCTCTCTCTCTCTGTTTCTCTTACACACACGCTTATTTTTTCTCTCATTTTTTTTTTGTTTTTGTTTTTCTCTCCAGTAATTAAAGCTAATTCGGTAAAAAAAATTTTTTGTCTTTTTTCTACGTGAATTTTTTAAATATTATTATTATTATTATCATTATTATTAGTATTATTAATATTATTATTATTATTATTAATAATATTATTATTATTAATATTATTATTATTATTAATGTGATTACCACTATCATCATCATCATCATCATCATTCTTACTATTGATATTATATAATACGGTGTATTATTCGTAACAAAAAAAAAAAAACTGCTCAAAGGAACGGTGCCAACGTCACAATCAAATCAAACATTTTTCACTCCGCCTTTTTTTTCCCTCCCCCCCCACTTTCCCGCCTACCTCCTCTCTCCACTCCCCCGTTTTTTTCTGTCTCTTTAATTTTGACGTCACGAGTTCACGTGACCCGAATCCCACGTGCCTACGATAGTCTCCCCTTTTAAACTGTTTTTGTTTTTTCGATTTTCACTCTCGCTTTTTTTGTTTTGTTTAAACCGCATCAGCAAATTAATTTAATAATAATAATAATAGTAATAATAATGATGATGACGACGATTTTTTTAAATATAGTTACGATAATAATAATGATGATGATGATGATGATCGTTAACGTGTGAAATTTGAAAGTTTATGAAAATTACAAATAAAAAAAAAAAATATATATATATATATATATTAATAAATAAAATGAAATGACGATAAAAAATAATAATAATATTAATATTAATAATAATAAACATAATACGACTGGATTATTAATATAATTATTATCAATTGAGTAGTAAAAAAAAAAAATAATAATAATAATAAAAATAAATTAATAAATTTTGATTGTAAAAAAAAACGAGTATAAAAGAAAATATATATATATATATATATATGTATTTGAACGAAAGAGAGAGATAGATAGATAAAAAGGTGGAGAGACAGAGAGAGAGAGAGAGATGGGTATATATATATATATAGATTTAGTGCCATATTGCTATTTTTAAAAATTCATATATATATAAATACATATATATATAAATACATATATATATATATATATATTTTTTTTTTTTTCGTCTCCTCGGTAGATAATTATATATATATATATAAATAATTAATTAATTAACTTATTTATAATTATTATTAAAAATAATAATAATAATTTTATCGATTGTAACAAACGAACAAACAATAATTGAATAAAAAAAATAAATGCGCAGCGAGAGAAGGCATATATATATATATATATATGTGTGTGTGTGTGTGTGAGGACTTGGGGATATCACTGATCACGTGCGTGCGTGCGTGGGTGGGTGGGTGGGGAGGGTGAGTGCGTAACAATGAAAAAAAAAAAATTGCGTGTTCGAAACAGAATCTCGAATTTTTTTTTTCTTCTATTTATTTTATTATTATTATTATTATGTACATATATATTTATTTTTTTTAAAATTAGCGAATACATAATAAATACAATTCGAGAGGAAATATTATTATTATTATTATTATTTGTTGAAAAAAAAATGATAATGATAATTATCGTAGAGTTTTATCTAAATAATAATAATAATAATAATAATAATAATAAAATATTGAGTAGCCTCTCGTGAGTTTTTTTTTTTTTAATTAGGAAAACGTAATGAAAAAAAAATAATAATAATAATGATAATTATAAAATGTCGTCTTCTCTACTCGTAGAAAATGAAATAATAATAATAATAATAAATTACGTTAAAAACAAAACAATTGAAAAAAAAAAACCAACAGAAAATTCTTTGTCCTTTTCTCACACATATAAAAATACATATATATATATATATATATATATATATATATATATTTATTTATTAATGATAATGATGATATTTTGTGTGCGTTTTGTAACATATTTATATATACATAATTTTTATTATTTATTATTAAAATGACGTCATCATGAGTGAGACGTCACGACAAACGAGTTTTGTTTATTAAAAAAAAAAAAAAAAAAAAAGTTGCCTTTTTTCGTATTCGTCTGTCGTAAAAAAAAAAAATCAATCGAAATGTACTTTTCCCCCCCCTCTCTCTCTCTCTCTCACACTGTCCTTTGCCCCCCCTCACTTCCCACCCCATCCCCGTCGACCCTTCTCGAAATCGCAGGGAATTTTTATTTATTTATTAATAAAATTTGTTTGTTCGTTTGTAAATTATTTTATTTACTATTTATTTATTTATTTATTTGTAATTTTGTTTTTTTTTTTTTTTTTTTTTATTATGTATTTTTTATTTTATTTTATTGTATTTCGCATCATTTTCCTTTTTTATCAATAATAATAATAATAAGAAAAAGAAATAAAAAAGGAAAGAATGAAAGATAAAAAGAGAAAGAAAATTATTTATTTTTGTTATATTTGATTGACTGTGTATACATAAAGTAAAGTAAAAAAAAACTAATAATAATAATAATAATAATGATGATGATAATTTATAAGCGCTTTGAGTCCTTTAATACCTGGTAATGATTTTATTAATTAATTAATTTAAATGCTTTTTATTATTATTATTATTATTATTATTATTATTATCAATAAATAAATAAATAAAATAAAAATTTTACTGTACTGTGTCTGTGCCCTATTTTTAAAATTTTAATTAAATTAATAATAATTTTTCCAAATAATTAATTATTTATTTATTTATTTATTTAAACGTGCATATTTTAATTTAAAAGTGAGATTATTAATAAATAATAATAATAATAAATAAATAAATTTAATTATTTTTTTTTTGTTGTTGTAATAACAATAATAATTTGTGGCTTTACTTTTTTTTTTATTTATTTTATTTTATTTTTTTAATTTTATTTTATATCTAGTCTGTATATTTAATTAAAATAATAATAATAATAATGATAATGATGATGATGATGATGTGAATTATCACTATTATCATTATTATTATTATTATTAATATGAATGAAAAAAAGAAAAAAATTTTAATAATGATTTAATTAATATTTTATGAATTAGATAATAAATAAAAAAGAAAACAAAAATGTGTGTGAATTGATTGTGAATGATTGATTGATTGATTGATTGTGTAAATTATGTGAATTAGAATTTAAATAAATAAATAAAATTAAATTTAAATAAATAAATAACAAAAACTACGCCATTTTTTTTTTTTTTTTTTACATTGTTGTTTAGCAGGGGTGAAAGAAAATGTTTTTTTGTGAGTTATTTGAATTTAACGATGATGGAAATGGATTGTTTAATTTTACCTGGCGCCATTTTATCCGTTTTTTTTAATAATTAATAAATATTTTTATCGAATTTTAACGGTAATAATAAAAAAAATAACAAGATGAGGTGAGTAAAATAATGTTATTAAAAAAACGCGCGCGAAAACGTTTGTCAGTTAAATAATAAGTTATAATATATTTCTATTGGCACGATGGTAATCTATTTGGCAACGCTGTAAATAAATTGATTGATTCAAAGATGTCAGCACGCAAGGTGTTAAAATTGTTTCTATTTATATAAATATGTGAATATTTAATATTGATACTTTTGTTAAATCGTTATAATAATATAAAAAAAAAATGATTATAGAAAATCCCGAAATATTTCGGTATTGGCTATCGACCGTTTTGGAACCGCTGTAAGTTAGTTTTGTTGATGTTTCTTTTCTCTTTTTTTTTCGTTTTTCGGCCATTTTCTTTACTCTTTCATGTGGTCCAGTTACATTTGGTCCTTATTTAAAAAAAAAAAAAAAAAATTTTTTTTTAAACTTTTTTTCTTATTTTCCTCTTTACTTATAAATCGATACAAACGAGAATATTATTTTAAATCAATTAAAATTCGGGGATATTATTTTAAAATGTAATAATAATAATAATAATATCAAAAATCGTTTGACCGATCTTTCCGTTTTTAGTTTTGGCTTCTGAAAAATGGATTTTCTCTCTCTCTCTCTCAAATAAAATTTATTTAAAAAAAAAAAATTCTAAAATTTGAATTATTATAATTTAATTTAGTTTTTACTGAAATAATTTACGTTAAATACTATCAATCGATATTAAATTCAAACAATTTGTCTTGGATTTTATTGTTTGTTGGCAAATGTTTTCAACATATTTCATTTAGTTAAATTTTTTTTTTTTTTTTTTTTTTTTTTTACTTTCCATATGTTTATTTTATTATTACACATGAACACAAAATCATCTTTAATTAGGTATCATCATACCTATTGCCCTCAGCTCAGGTTTTAAATATTTATTTCAAATTTTTCTTTTCCTTTCGAAATCAAAGTTTTTCCATGTACAACAATTTTTAAAAAATCAATAATCGATAAATCGACTAATTCATTTTCTTTTAATGAAACCAAAAGGAAAGTAAAAAAAAAACATAAATTTAATAAATATCATCAGGTTTATTTATTATTTATGACAGTTTGTGTTATTCTGACATTGAATTTAGGCTTCTTAGAAAGAGAAAAAAAAATAAAAAATAAAACCTTGAATTTAAAGGGATTAAAATTACTTGTAAACTCTTTTGTCGCATAAATCGAAGGTTTTTTTTTTTTACTCGACTTTATTTATTAGGTTTTACTCTGGTTCAAAATGGAGTTTAAAATAAAAAAAAAAATATTCTCTACCTTAAATTATCTTATATTATTATCATTTACCTCTGCTGTATAATGATCATTCGAATCGAAACAAAATTTTATGACAGAATTTAATTTCTTTTTCATTTTCGTCTTTTTTTCTTCCGTAATCTCTTACAAAATTTGCATTCATTTCGAGTAATTCAATTAATTATTATTTCATTTTTTAATTTATTTAAAACAAATTGATTATTTTTAATCATTATTATCATTCCTCTTCGATCTCATTATGTTTTTTTCGAATTTGGATTTGGATTTTAATAATAGAATATTTATTTTTAAACACATATTTATTTTGAACACTTTTACTTTTTTTTTCATTTCTTTCTTTTGTACAACTTTTTTTTTTTTTTTTTTTCTTGTTTTATTTAAATATTTATATATAAATAAACATTTATCTATATTGGTAATAAATTTTTTATTGTTGTTGTTGTTGTTTTGTCGTTTTATAAATTATATTTTCTATAAATCTATTTTTGTTTTCCATAACTTGTTTTCTATTGTAAAAATAAAATTTCACTTTTTTTGACAGATTCTTTCTCTCTCTCTCTCTCTCTCTTTTTCTCTTTTTATTAATCATAATTAATAATTTTTTTATTATTTAAAATGATGTTTATTATAAAACAGGTTAATGATTATAAACATTTGTTCGAATTGAATTTTCTTTTTTTTTATTATTATCATCATCATCATCATCATCATCATCATCATCATCATACATAATAACACAACAAACACAATAATAACATAATATATTATTAACAAATTATTATTATTATTCGACTTGCCCTTTTGCTTTCCTACATGTAAATTTTATTATTTCAAATTGATTATAAATTAAATAATTAAAAAATAATAATAATAATAATAATAATAAATTATTATTATCATTATTATCATTTTTGGGATGCTATCGTTATTCGATTAGCGATCGATAAATGAAAACGTTTGGATTAAGTGTAAATTTGTTTAATTAAAAAAAGTAAATAAATAAATAAATAAACTCAAGGCAACGAGAGAGAGAGAGAGAGAGAGAGAGAGAGAGAGAGAGAGAGAGAGAGAGAGAGAGAGAGAGAGAGATAGAGAAAACATTAACAAAAAATAAATAAATAAATAAATAGCAGTAAAATTTTAAAATTATTCAATTATCATCATCATCATCATCATCATCATCATCATTATTATTATTCATGATTCGTTTAGCTGAACTTATGTTTAATCATGAATTACAATTTTTTTTTTTTTTTTTTTTTTTTTTTTTCGTGGGAGTTACATAATCGGTTGAAAGAGTGAGAAAGAGAACTAGAGAGAGAGAGAGAGAGAAAATAAAGTTAATAATAGTTTATTGACCCGTTGACAAAATTTTCAAAAAAATTTATTATTATTATTATTATTATTATTATTATTATTATTATTATTATTATTAATTATTGGGTTAAAAAAAATAATGATGATGATTGATTTAAAGTTGAAGCAGAAGAAGAAGAAGAAGAAGAAACTGATATGGATTGCAAGGCTTATGATGATGATTATTATTATTATTATTATTATTAATATGGCCGTTTTTTTTTTTTTTTTTGTAGATGTGATGCTGATCCGGCGGCTTTAGCCAAATATGTTTATGCCCTTGTCAAAAAAGACAAGCCCGTCAGTGATCTCCGTGTGTCAATGGTAGAGCAGTTAGATGTTTTCTTGCAAGAAGGTAATTGTGGGGTGAGGGGGAGGGAGAGAGGGAGGAAAGGGTTGCATTGTTTGAACCGTGAGGGAAAAGTAATGGAAAAAAATATCGTGGCATTAATTTTTTTTTATTTTCTCTTTTTATTTTCATTTGGTGTCCGCGCGGTGTGCAGAAACTCAGAGTTTTGTCGCCTTATTGTTCAAGACTATAGAAAATAAAGAGTATTTAAATGTTAAAAAAGATGGCGTGAAAGAGGAGAAAAAAGATGAATCCAAGGTTCCGGCGACGAACGCGGGTCCTCCTCAATCGACCGACGTAACCGAAAAAGAAAATGATAATAACAAGCCTGATGATAAAGAGAACGACGATTACATTAGTTCAACGGATGAAAAACAAAATGGAGTTCAAATACAGTCGAGCGTCGTGTCAGAAGGAACCGTCGCCAAACCCATCGTCGGAGTTGAAAATAAAGTTGGCGGCACCGATGCAAAGGAAGATCGGAAAAAGGATAGCGTGAGTATTTTGTTTTATTTTAATTTTAATTTTAGTTTTTGTTTGTTTAAATGATTGATAATTTTTTCCGTTTGTATCGCGTTTTGAATTTTCAGGAGAGAGACGATAGGAATAGGTTTAATCGGAATAGGAGTAGAAAAGAAAATTCTCTGACGAGAAATTTAAGGAGTAGATCTCGATCGTGGGATAGGTTAAGGAGATCTAGGTCGCGGGAAAGAGACAGAGATAGAGGAGATAGAGCGAGAGAAAAAGACAGAACTAGGCTGTATAGGAACAAATCTCCGCCGAGGAGATACGAACGGGGTTTCGACAGGAGGAGAACTTATTCGAGATCACCAAGTCCACTTAGGTACAGAATCCTTTATCCTAATAGGTCAAAGTCAAAGTCGAGGTCACCGAAATTATCTCACCGAGGAAGATTCAGAAACAGGTCTCCATCCCACAGTAGGAGTCGATCACCGAGAACGAGATCTCGATCTAGATCGTTTGGTGAGAATTCATTTATTTATTTACGAATTGATGATGGAGCAATGGAAAAAAGTCTGTAGTCTATGATTTTTTTGTTAAAACAGAACGTAAAAATTCATCCGGAGGTAGAGACGACACTCCGACTCAAGATGGTAATCACGGAGACATGGATTCAAATATGCCACCGGGTCCTCATTCGGGAAACGAAAATGATTGTGATAGATTTGTGTCATGTAAAGTGAGACGGTGTCGAGATTATGACGGTGAGTACATACATATTTTTTATCAAATTCGTTTGTCTCGTGCCACTTTTTTTTTTTTTTTTCGAAGGTTAGGTTAGTCCTTGTCGTGAAACCCGATTAAGAGAAAAGTAGTTTCATGCGTATTTTTCACTTTATATTGACACACTTCCCTGATTAGGCCCCGTTTGGATCATTTGAAAAAACTTTTTATTTTCCAGAAAAAGGTTATTGCTTACGCGGAGAATTATGCTTGTATGATCATGGTTCAGATGCTGTTGTTTTAGAAGACGTCGCCTTGTCCCAAGTGTTAACGTACGGACCGCAAGGACCACACGACGTACCATTGCAACCGCCCGGTGTTCAGTGTCCTCTCATGCACGACATGGTGCCGCCGATGAATTCCCTTCCCAACATGCCACCGCCCATGGGTATGGATCATTGTCCAGTCGGTCCTCCGCCGCTTATGGTCATGCAAGGTCCACCGCCGCTCGTCATGAGACCTCCTCCTAATATGGGTAAGTAAGAGTCGTGAAGTCGTGGTTTTGTCGAAGAGTAAGCGGATTCCCCAAAATTATCATCATCATCATCATTTTGTTTTTTTTTTTTCAGAATACAGTCCAAACGCGCCGGGTATGAATTCAAATATGAATTGGGGCCGACCCCCGTTTAGGGGTATGCCCCGTCCCATGCATCCTCATCAACCCGGAATGGGATTCAATCAAGGACAACGTGCTCTTATAAATGTTCCAGTTGAGTCAAATTCTCATTCTTTACACAAGCAGAATAACGTCGTGGCGGAGGTAACCAAAGTGATAACTTTTCAAATACGAAAGTAACTCTCCATAAATAAATTAAATAACGATTATGATGATGATGATGATGATGATGATGATCTAGGGCGAAAAATGTTGTCATTCTGTCGCGAGGTTTCCCCTCCTCCTCCTCCTCCATCCCACTCCCACTCCCATTCCAACTCCTCTCCCCGGGTCAAAGCAGTTAATTGGAGTTCTTCGCTTTTGTTTCTATAATAAATTTTTGTATTGAAAATTCCTTCGCCGAAGAGGAGTTACTTTCTTCTCCAAAGTAGATCACTTATATATTACCTTCCACCGTTTTGTGTGCGTGTGCACGTGCCCCGCACGCGTGTTTTTGTTCATTTAACTCAATCGCTTTTTTAAACAAGAAAAGATTAACTTGCTTTGTCCTTAATTACTAACCGTAATCATTTCCGAAAAAAAAATAACGATTGTCGTTTGTTTGTTCGTTTGTTTGTTTACCGCTCTCACTTTACTTTTCTATAATTTCTTAATTATCCTGATTAGAATAATAATAATGATAATGATAATGATTTTCCACGTGCATTTTTTTTAATATTTTTTCTGTTTTTTTTGTTTTTTTTTTTTTTGTCATTTTCATTTTGTTTTTTAGAATCACGGGGGGCACGCAGAGAGGAGACCCGGTTTCGATCCCAATCGTCAGTACAACAGTTGCCTAATATTAAAAAAGGTTCCATCCGGTTTAAACAACATCACTCATTTGAATAATCATTTCGCTAAATTTGGAAAAATCGTCAACATTCAGGTGAGTTGAAATTTACGAACCTGCGAAATTTACGAAAAGTCGAAAAGAAAATCATTATTATTATCGTTTTTATTGATGAACAGGTTAATTACGAAAACGATCCTGAATCGGCGATGATAACTTTCTCAAATCCTGCTGAAGCAAATGCCGCCATTAAAAGCACGGAAGCCGTTTTAAACAATAGGTTGGAATATTTTTATTAATTTTTTTTTTTTTTATAAACAAAAATTCTACGATTCGAAAATGGTCGAAACCTGATTTGTAATATCATTATTATTATTTTTTCTTTACAGATTCATTAAAGTATTTTGGCATAATAGTAATAAAGATGGTGGGAAACATAGCAATCCTAAAGATAAGTTTAATCCTATTCCACAATCCGCGACTCAGATACCTTCAAATAACAACAACAACAGCAACAGCAACAACAGTAACAATAACAACAATGGAGGACCCGGCGATGGAAATAACGTGAGAAAAATCATTATTATTATTATTATTCGTAGCCGTTGAAAAAAGGATTCGATAAAAGATGAACGTTAAAATAATAATATTATTATTATTTTTTTTTTTTTCCGGTTCGTTCCCTATTAAATTTGAATAGTTTTCCTCGACCGGAAGTAGCCTTATGAAAAAACAACAGACTGGAACGGAAAATAATGAAAAATCATCGGAGTCGGCATTTTCACCGGAAGAAAAAAAAGCCAAGGTGGGAGAGTGGGGAGGGGAGGGAAAAAAAAGAAAATTGAGAGAGAGAGAGAGAGAGAGTTATTTATTAATTTGTTTTTGTTTTTGTTCTCTCTTCACGCAGACGATCGCAGCCATAAAAAAATCCCAAGAAATGTTAGAAAAGAATAAATTGCTGAGAAAGAAAACGGAAGAGAAAAGGAAGGAAGCTCTCAAACTCACGAGCGATTTGAGAAAGAGAACTCAAAGTTTACTAGAAAAACAAATAGGGCAACAAAAGGCTCTCATACAGAAATTAGAAATTGGTAATTTGGACGAGAAGCAAAAAAAAGACGTCATGGACACGATTAAAATCCTACAGGATTCCATAGAGAAAATCAAACAGGAACTCGTCGAAACGACGAAAACGGCAAAAAAAATGATACCCGTTAAAAAAACCAAAGAAGAGGTGAGTTTTTATTTTACGGAAACAACGGGGAGTGGAAAATTTTATGCGACGGTAAAAAAGTAAAAAAAAAAAAAAAATTTCCCATCCGCGCGATCCCCGAATTTTTTATCCCGAGGGAGGGAGAAAAACAAAACAGCAAAAAGGGACCAACGGGAAACACATTCCGGCCATTTTTAATTTTTTTAATGTGTTTTTGTGTTGTTGTTGTTATTATTATTATTATTATTATCAGTTTTAATAAAATGTTCATATTATTACCACTCTTGCGAAAAGTTTTTTTTTTTTTTTTTTTTTTTTTTTTTAGTGTGTATTAGAATAAAAGGTTCGGTATTGTGGGAGTTCCCGTGGGAGTTGAGGGATTTTGTTTAAAAAAAAAAAAAAGGGGAGAAGAAAAGAATTGAAATTGGATTTTTGTTTTTAGATACAAAAAGAAATATTAGATACGGAGCTTGATTTAATGGCGAAGCAACAGGAAGGAGGGGACGTGTCGGGTCTTCAGCAAAAAATATCGTCGTTAAAATTAGAATTAGCCAAAGTACAACAGCCGAAATCGTCGGTGGGTTCGAGAGTGGTGCCCAGGGGTCAACACAAAACGAGCCTAGTTAAAAACATGTCGATAAATAGAATTCGTACGACGAAAATAAATCACGTGAAATCCGTCGTGGATCACAGGCCGACGAAATTGTTGGTGTCGGGATATGAAAACGATGAAAAAGACCTCGTTTTGACACATTTCAGAGTAAGGAAATTGCTAATGTAACCTTTCGAGAAGAAGGAGGAGGAGGAGGAGGAGAGGGAGGAAACAATGGCACCGATATTAATTTATTATTATTATTATTATTATTATTATTTTTTATGTGTGTTCGACGAACGAACGACAGCAATTTGGAGAAATCGGAGATTACATAGCGGATGATTCGACACCGTCGGTCGTATTGAATTTTAAAACTCGTCAAGAAGCGGAAAATGCAATGGCGAAAGGAAAATCATTTCAGGATAGATTGTTGACGGTCACGTGGTTCACGACAAACTCGGCCGATTCGCAATTCAGAAGGTTTTTAATGGATAAAATTTAATTTTATTTATTTATTTATTGGTTTTCCCTACAACGGCCATATTGATTTTTGTTTTGTTTTGTTTTTAAAACAGGCGGAACAGTTCCGGTAGTGGTTTGACTTACCACATGCATGCAGGTCATCAAGTGTTATTAAGCGGAAATGAAAACATATGGAAAATGGAAATGGAAACGGAAACGACATTGGAAAACGAAGAGAGCGAGGTAGGATTTTAGGATTTTTCCGGGGGGAAAATTTTGTTTCGAAATTAAATTTTTTTTTTTTTTTTTTAATAAAAAAACGTATTTTCCAGATGGATCCCGGTTTGGAATCAAGCGAAGATTTACTCCTACAAGATGACGATGAGGATTTGGAAGATGAAGAAAGATCATGGCGTCGATAACATTTTCATTATCATTATCATTTATTAAAAGCTTGAACGTTTTTTTTTTTAAAAAAAAAATGTTTTTGTTTTTGATGAATGGCATAAATTAAGTTTTAGAATTAAAAAAAAAAAAAATATTATTTTCTTTTGATTCCGATGTGTGTTCAAAACATTGGTTTTTATACTTTAAAGTTGTAAAAAAAAAAAAAATTAATAATAATAATAATAATAATAAAATTAAATTTAAAAAAAATTCAAAAACAAAAAAAGGTAAAAAAAAGGTAAAAAAAAAAAAAAATGAAGTTCAAAAAAGTAAAATATAACACTAGTAATTTTTTTTAAATAATTTTTGTTTTATTTTCTTTTCATTCTTTTTCAAAAAAAAAAAAAAATTACCCATTTAATTATCTATAAAAGATATTTCTAGGAAGAAATCTTTAACGGATTTGTTTTCAGGCCGCCATTTTGAAAATTTGAATATGTATATAGAAAATTGATACGAAGGAGTTGTTGTCAACACTGTCGAAAAAATTAAGTTGGCAGTAATTGTTCTCGAATGAAAAGACGTTGTACTTGTCGGAATTGAAGTAGTAGTTTTAGTTGTAAAATTTTAGTAAGTAATTAATTATTTAAAATTACTTTTTTATTTTAATTATAAACGATTCGCGAATTAATTTAATATAATCTCTAAATAAATTTCAATTAATTTTCATTCGTACAAATGAATTTATTTAAAAAAGATGGTATTAAAAAAATTTATACCCAAGATTTTTTTCATAATCAGGTTATATAATTTTTGCGGTAAAAACGTTAAACTCATTCGAATCCGAAGTTATATTAAAAACTCTAAAAAAAACGTTTTTTCGCATCTTTTACTTTAAAAAAAATCATCATCAATCGTGTTAAATATGAATAAACTTCATAAGAAAACAGTAAAAGATAATTATTATTAATATTTTTTCGAATAAAATCTAATTAACATTAACTATGATTTTTACAAATCAGGTTAAATATTACAATATATTTAACCGATTGACTATTTTATTAATTTTTTTTTTTTTACACAAGTTAAAGCATGTGTGAATTTGTTTTTACACGTGTACGTTTTCATTTATATTTTATTATATTTAATAATTATTTGTTTTAATTTAACTACTTTTTGACTCGTATGAGGTAAAATGAATTTTGAATTAAATTAACAATTATTTGATGTTTTAAATAATAATAATAATTTTTTATTCATTTATTTTTCCAGGTGTTGACTCGAGTTAAGTTTTCATCGTTTGAATAATAAAATGTCGAATAGACATGAGAATTGTAGTGAACAAATTCATAAGTTATATACCTCATAATAATAATAATAATTTATTCTGTCGATTTTAATTACATGTAAGTTGATTTTAAACTGATTTTTTTCCTTAAATTTTTTTAAAACTGGTTTGACGATATGAGTTTATAAAAAATGTATTATTTAATATAAACCGGCTGTCGTTTTATAATTTTTGAATATTTTATTCGATTAATAAGGAAAAGTTTGTTTTGTTTTTTTTTTTTGGGGGGGGGGTTTGAGGGGAATCAAAAAGGTTTGTATTACATTAATATTTATCATTATTTAATCGAAGGTGAATAATTATTACAAATTAATTTTTAAAATTTATCATTTTCAATTTATTGATTATATATATATATATATATAATAACAATAATTTTTTAATGTACAATTATTAACAATAAAATTTGAAATTTTTTATTTAAAAAATAATTGTGCTCTTATTAATAAAAACTAACTTTTTTTTTTTTTTTTTTTTTTAGTTAATAACAACATTTTCATTTTCAATAAGTATTAGTGCAAATATTTTTTTTTTTTTATTTATTTATTTATCGGTAAAAAAAATTTAAAATTTTTAAAAATATTTACACATTTTGTGAATTAAAAATAATTATTTATTTTTATTATTATTATTATTAATTAGTATTATTTGGTTTTAAATTAGTTTTTATATAAAAAAAAAAAAAAATTTGACAATGTGTGAGCCATTCATAATCGAAAGTTGTAGTTCAGTAGTCAGTTTTTAATCGAATACATAAATTTTTTTTAATCGTTGACATATGTAACAAATTTCATGTGATTTTATATTTTCATAAAAGTCCGTTACATATATTAATATCACTATAAAATAATAATAATAATAATAATATTAATAATGTTAGTCATGTTAAAATATTAATTTGTTGATGATGATAAATTTTAATATTAATTTTTTTTTAGTTTACTTAAATGGATGGATTTTAAATTTAAACTTAAAAAAAGAATGGGAAAACATTTAAATTGTTTCAAGCAATAATTAAAATAACCGTTAAAGTTCGGAAAAGTGTTTGTTTTTACTGAAATTTTCTTTTTTTTTCTGGTTTTCTGGTTGTTGTTGTTGTAGGGAAAATGCGCGAAAGTTTAACGGTCAAATTCATTTCGAATGATACGTTTTTTCGTTACGTCATCACAATCGTTTGAAACAAATTTGTGGGGGGGAAAAAAAAAGAAGGTTGGCTACCCTGAGTTCTTTCGTAATTAATCGTTTTGTCGTTTTTGTTTTGTTTTTGGCAACACATTCGTTTCGTTCTAGGCAATTTACAATGAAAAATTTCTTTGATTTTTTTTTTTTAGTTTTTCCAGACTGTGTTCTACGATTTTTCCGACTGAACGTTATCAGTTATTAAATGATAATAGCCGGTTTGTGAAGGAACATGTAACAAAAATCGTTTTTTTTTGCGTATTACGATTAGTTATTCTATCTAAAAAAAAATGGCGTTTTTTTAAATATAATTTTTTACGCGTGAGCCGATATTAATTAAAATAATTGAGCTTTATTGTAGATTATTGGAGTTAAACGCTCGATGTGGCATTTCGACCCAATGATAAACTGCTCGCTCTCAACGAGAGGCTGGCCAAACTGAGTGAGGATCTGTTGCTGTGAAATCCAAAACACGGATCGGTGGGTTCATTGTTGTAGGGAAACGACTTCGAACCGACAGATTTTTGACAATCCGGACAAACTTTTTTCTTTTTTTTATTTTTCTTTTTCATGATGTCGTATGCGCACCTGAATTCAAAAAAAAAATTCATTCAAATTCTTTTTAAGGGAAAGAGAGAGAGAGAGAGAGGGAAAAAGAAGGGAAATTTATTAACCTCGCGTGAAGAATGTGAGAACATGGTAGTGCTTCGAGACTGTCGGCTTCCAATCCGAACGGCAAATTGCATCCACCGCAAAGCAATTCCATTTCTTCTTCCAAATTTCTCGCATACCTTTCGTGTAACTTTTGTTGTTCTTCGTCTTTGAGGCTACGATATATCTGTGACAGTCTTAAACGAACCGTACGCACCAGTAACTTTAAAAAATTTTTTCCCGTTAGTTAACTTGATTTGTGGGCGGGGAGGGAATGGAGGGAAATTCTTACAAATTTTTTTATTAATGGCACTACTACCTTGGCTCCGACAGATTTGGCCACTTCCAACAACCTGCTGTTGAATTCCAACGGACGACAATTGCATATTTTTTGCTGTTGTCTTAAGGCTTCAAGACACTTGGCTGCTCCGTCCATTGCTTGCATTTGACATAAACGATCACCCATCGATGTGGACGTGTTGATGGCGGATTCGTATTGTCGAAATGCTTTCTGATACGGGAATACATAAAAGTTATTTTATTTTGCAAGGTTTTCGATCACGTGATTTGTATTTGTTTTGGTTTTTCCTCAAACTTACATTTATATCCGATTTTTTTCTGTATATGTCTCCCAATATACGAAGACTTCTTGCATACGTGGCTTGGTCTCCCGAGAGGAGAGCAAATTTTGTCGCTTCCTTAAAAGAAAATTTAAATTAAATTAAATTTTTTTTTTCTGCTTTCTTTACAGTTATTGATGGTGTCAAACAAAAAATATTTTTGTTTACCCCGCAATAATCGTGAGCATCCCCCAATTCTCCCTGTTTGCAAAGCGAAGAAGCCATTTGAAGTAGAGCCGCACGATGGTGCCTTGTGTTGAGGTCCCCCAATTGAAGACTACGCGACAAGTCGTAGGCTTTTGCGGCGTACAAAGCGCTCTTGTCGGCATCTTGCAGTCTTCCAAATAATTCGGAAAATCCTATGTAAGCCTAAAAATAATTTTTTTCAGGGAGTTCGAAAATGGGTTGAGGGGGGGGGGGAGAAATAAATTTCGCGAGTGAAACCTGTAATTCCAGTCTGGAATCGGGCAAGGCTTTTGCTATTTTCAACGCGTTTTGAAACGAAGTCAAAGCTTTGCAAAAATTAGCCATTTCCAAATGAACGCTCCCGATGGTCGTGTGAACCAATCCCACAACTCTGCACTGACTGCATTCGTTGTAAAGGGAATGCCTAGCAAAGGCCAAAGATCTTTCGAGGGCACCCATTCTCTCGTGAGCCAGAGACAGGTTCAAATACGCTTCCGCTCTCATGTTCGGACTGTCCATTTCTTCGGACACGATCAATTGTCTTTGCGCAAAATCTATCGAATCCCTGTGCGAGAAATAAAAAAAGAAGGACAAAGAAAAATATTATTATTATTGCTTTCTACAATTCGGTTATCGCTTTCGAATTTCTATTTTCCCTATTTCCCCCCCCCAATTTATCTCCCCACCCTCCTTCCTCCTCCTCCTCTAACCTGTATTTGCCCCAATCCATGTAAGCTTGAAACAAATAACCTAGAAGTAAAAATTTATCGTCCCGTTTTCGTATCCTTTTCAATGCCGATTTCCACTTTCTTACCGCCGCTTGTTGTTTGTGCTGATTGTAAAGCTTTAACCCTTGTTCGATCTGTAATAAACAAGAAAAAACAAACAAGTTTTTGTAATGAACGCACAATAGACAGAAGGAGAAAGACCACGCGCACGCACACACACGCGATGACAATGACGTAGGTGACGGTGACGGTGACGTCGACAAGCATAAATAATTTTGGTTCTATTGTCACGTTGTTGACGGTTTAAATAACGTTAAGCTTTTGTCAATTGATGGGAATAGGAATGAATAATTCAATAATAAATTATCATTCTCTCTCTCTCTCTCATTCAGATCGTAATGTATATTTTTTCTCTCTCTCTCTCTTAAAGCGAAAGTCAAAGTTTTGGTTGTTTTTTTTAAAAACGTTTCGAATCATTTTTCTTTTCATTCGAGATAGAAATCTTGTTGGGGGGATGGTTTTTTTTGTTTTTTTCTCTCTCTCTCTCTCTCTTTCTCTCTCCCCCGTCTTGTCTTTTCCGTTTAACGAAATCGATCGCGAATTTAAGAAAAAAAGGAAGAAGAAGGGAAAAAGGAAAAAAAAAAAAAGTTTTTATTTATTTTATTTTTCCAGTGATTGAGTTAATAAAACATTATTTAATTTTTTATTTTTAATTAAATCCATTCCAGAGTTTTAAATTTTTCGTTTCGTCATTTTGTTAAATTCGTTTTCCCCTTTTTTTGTTGTCCTTTTTCTTTTTTTTTTGGCGTAACGATGAAAAAGGAAAAAAAGTTTCGATGTTTTGTTCTTATTGTTTATTTGTTTTTCTCGAAAAAAAAATTTTCTTCTGCTACGTATTTATTTTATTTGATTTTGTAATTTATTTATTTTTTTTTTTTTTTACGTTTGTTCGTTTGTTACGTTGATGATGCGGGTAAAAAGGTTTGAAAAAGGAAAAAAGGAAAACATGATAGTGTTGTTATTGTTGTTGTTATGTCGCATGAGAGTAAAAAGGAAAAAAAAAAATGTTTGTTCAGGTGTCGCGTTTTTGTATATTAAATAACACGGAAGGGGGAAGAGGGGAGGAGGGGAGGAGGATAAGAGGTTATCAGGGGCGTATTTCATTCGAAACGAGGTATATTCCGAGTGTCGCGAGCGCGAATAAAAATTAATTATTTATAATTTTCAGGTGTTTAATTTAAAACTTGAACGCTGTTGTTGCACTTTAGACGTTTTAAATTTTTAAATAGAGGAAAGGATTATTAGAATCAGGCGGCGGTGGGGGGATGGTGGGAACGGGAAAAGGAAGAAGGAAGAGGGGAAACAGAAAAAGTTAACTAATTTAATACTCGAAACGTACATAAATCAAAACGACGTCTCGAAAGTTTGCACCCGCCCCCTGGGGGAGGTGGGTGGGTGGGGGAAATAATAATAATAGTAAACCTTTATTAAATGTTTCTGTCTCTCTCTTTCTCTTTCTCTCTCTTGTCAAAATCGCCCCGTCAATATTATTATTATTATTACTATTGCTACTACTACTGTTATAACGATAAATCAAAAAAAACCGTTTAATTTATTAAAATCGGAAAATTGTAATCGTGGCATCAGAATATTTTTTTTTTTTTTTAATCGCGGATAAATTTTATCGTGTTTATTAAAAAAAAAAAAAAAAAAAAAAAATTGGCTTTATTCCGTGCGAACCCTTGGGGAGAGACGGAAGGGAGGGGTAAAGGGGTGGGGGAGGAGGTTAAATAAATTTTCCATGCCGCGCGCGGAAAATTCTTTTTTTTGTTCCAGTTTTTTTTTTTTTGGTGAGAGAGGGAGGGAGGGGTTTAAAAGGTTCAGAAGGAGTGGAGGGAGGGAATAGAATAAGCTAACAAATTATAAATTTACGTTTCGTTGGTTTTTTTTTTTTTTTTTTGGCGACGCCATTTTGAACTCGTTTTTATTTTATTTTTTATTTTTAAGTTTTCCCGTCGCAACAAACGATTATTATTTCGTATCGGTACCTTTTTCCGTCGTCTGCTTTTATTTATTATTAATATTATTAATATTATATTAATTTTCGGCGTCGGAATGTTTGTTCGAAAAAAATTTTTTTGATTTTCGATTTTTTTTTGTATTTTTCGTCTACTAAATAATTTTTACGATGAATTTTGTATTTTTTTTTTTTTTTTTACGAACTACAGGGGTCAAAAGGTTAAGTTTTCGCATTTTTATTTTTTGTATATGCGAGATGAAGGAAGGAAAAAAAGAAAATTTGAAAATTGTTGTTCTTTTTTCGCAGTGGAAAATTTTCGACGATTTCATAAAAATTTCATGAAAATTATCAAGTATCAAAAGTTGACGGTTGTTGTCCTTGTTGTTGTTGTTGTCTTTGTTGTTGCTGTTGTCTTTGTTGTTGTTGTTGTTGTTGTTGTTGTCGTCGTTGTTGTTGTTGTTGTTGTTGTTGTTGTTGTTGTCGTCTTTGTTGTTGTTGTTGTTGTTGTTGTTGTTGTGTTTGTAGCGTTCGTAGCGTTTGTTTTGAGTTCCAGTAGATAGACTTGAGATTCGTCTCAATTTTAGGACTTTTTTAAATTTTCCAAAAATATTATTAGTATTGCATTCGATACGGAAGACTGAGGGGGGAAAAAGACGAAGAGTGGGGGGGAGCGGAAATGGAAAAGAATAAGGAAAAAAAAAAAGTTCCGGAAAAAGACTTTAGAAATTTTATTTTATTTTATTCTTCTTTTTCCTTTTTTTTTATACGGGAAACCGGAAACGATGTGATTTGCGTTTTATTATTACTGTTTCTCATACCAGTTCGTTTTTTTTTTTTTTTTTTTTTTCAAAGAAAATTTTATTTTTAGGATTTTGATTTTTTTTTTTTTTTTTTTTTTTTTATTGAAAAAATTTTCTTCCAACATTTTTTTTTATTTTATACGTTCTTTTGTTTTCAGGTGACGTCATGAGGTATAGAAAAAGTACAAGTTCATCACCTTCGTTATGTAAATATAAAGAAAATGAAAAAATCATTACGGGTGAGTTTAATTTTAAAATTATTATTTTATCAATTTTTACGAAGTAAGAGAGAGAGAGAGAGAATAACCTTCAACGAGATATTTTACTTAAAAAATAATAATAATAATAATAATAATAATAATAAGGACGACGACGGTTGGAAAAGAGAGGAAAAAAGAAAAGTTTATCCTTTGAAAAGCAGAGTAATTAATCTTATATATATATATTGGACAGATGGTCTTTGTTTTGAAAAGCAGAAGAAAAAAAAAAAATTTTTCATTCGTCACGTTGCCTCGTCCCGTTATCTGTCATACAACACGTGAAATCTCGAATTTCCTCTCTCTCTCTCTCTCTCTCTCTCTCTGTCTCTCTGTCTCTCTTTAAAAAAAAAAAAAAAAAAAAAAAAAAAAAGAAAATTTCGAGTCTGTTCGTTGAGTTCTGTGTGTTTTTATGCCTAAAAGGCACGACAGAAACAACACAAAAAATAATTTTCTTTTTTTTTTTTTTTTTTTGGATTCGAAATATGATTAAACCGGAAACGGAAGTTGGTCGTAAATGAATAACTCGTGCGATTTTAGGTTTTTTTTTTCTGTTAAACGTTTTGCGTCGGTAACGAATGACGAAACGTTTTTTTTTTTTTTTTTAACGAGCGACGACATTATCCACACATGGCCCGGAAATAGCATTCCTTATGATTATTATGATTATTATTATTATTTTCGACGAGGTTTTAACAATGGGGGGAAAAAAAGTCTAAAGAAAGAAAGAAGGAAAGAGAAAAAGAAAAATTTAACGAAACGTTTTTTTTTTTTTTTTTTTTTTTCGTTTGTTTCCCCGCCGCATGATGGAGAAAATCCTTTCGACTCGTAGATTTTTTTTTTTTGGGGGGGAGGAGAGGGGAGGGGGAGAAATTTAATATATTTTCACGGCTGGAAAAATTGTTTTTTTTAAGATATACATGATTATATTTTTGATAATTTTAAACGAAAGGGGATCAATTCCCAAATGCGATTTAAAAAAAAAAAAAAAAGGATTAAACCTTTTTTCCTTATTATTATTATTATTATTTATTAATTTATCGCGAGTAACAACAACAACAACAACACTTAATAAATGTTCGTGTGTGGGTGTTTTTTTTTTTATCTCGTTTAATCGCTTTTTATTCGGTTTTATTTTTTGTGCGACAAAATTCCCCGCGATGATTAAATTCTCTCGTGGACAAGAGTAAAAAAAAAAAAAAAGAAAAAATGGAGTCGACATTTTGGATTTTATCGTGCAATAGTATATGCGGTGAGAAAAAAAAATTGTCGACAAACACTCACTCGTCTTTTCCCGACTTGATGATCCAATTTGTGTCGGCAAACGATGAAACAATCCCAAAATCCAGAACTTCTCGAAGGACCCGCTCTGTGACCGCGAAAATTGACTCCGAGAAAATCGGAGTCATCTGGAAAATCGTAGAGATCAAACGGATGATGATGAGATGATCCGTTCGGAGATGGAAGGAGTGCCGTCGCGCTTAGTTGATGACTTGCGGTACCGCTGAAAAGAAAAGAAAAACGGAAAAAAAGCGGAAAATGAAAATTAATCGAATCGATGGAAATCAAATCGAAGAGAAAATAATAATGATAATGATAACAAAAGAATAACGAATCGATTCTATCGTTCGTTCATTCATTTATAAATTGTGTTTCTCCCTCCCCTCCGCCCCCTCACCCCCCGATGGGTGTTTTCCCGACTTTAATTGGCTCATTTTTCTATTTAAATAATCTAAATTACTCCCCGTTTAATTAATTACTAGAGCAAAAAAAAAAAAAATTTATTAATTAACATTAAAATTAATTGTTAATAAATTTTTCTTATTTTTTTTTATTAAACTCATTCAAAAGCACGTGAATCGGGCGTTAAAATTAAGGAAAAGTTTGTATTCTATCGGGTATTCCGTACAAACCGGAAATGATTCGTTTCGAGAGCGGAAGAGAGGGAAAATCATGGGGGAGGAGCATAACCGTCCGAAAATAAATGAAAATCTCTTCTTGATGATGATGAAAGTAGGTTTTTTAAATTTTTAAATATTTTCCGAAAAAAATTTTAATTTTTTTTTCGCTTTTTTTTTCTGAACCTTTTACCCTTTTGGTTTGGTTGTTGTTGTTTGTTGCTCTCTCCCTTTAATTTAAAATTAGAAAAAAAAAAGGTTTTTTTTTTTTTTTTAATTTTTCGCGGTGGGAAAAAAAAACAAAAATTTTCCGCAGAAAAGGATGAGATAGGACGGGGGGAGAAAAAAAAAAAAAGGTTTCGTCGAATGTGTTTTATTTTTTTCCATCTTTCTCTCTCTCTCTCACACTCGCTTTCCCACTCGCTTTCCCACCGTGTATCCTGTTTTATTTTTCCCAGGGCGTTTGTCAAACGGAAAGTAGTATTTCGGATAAATTTTTGATAGGTTTTTTTAACATCCGGCGGAGAAAAAAAAAAAAAAAATTTTTAGTTTTTTTCCGTTAACGTTTGATGTGTGCGTGCGTGCGTGAGTTTCCGCGTTTTCCTTTTTTAAATTGAAGTTCGTCGATTTTTATTTTTATTTATTTTGTTTTTCTTTTTTTTGGGGGGAAAGGGGGGGGTAATAATTTTATTTATTTTTTATGACATATATATATATATTTAAATATGATAATTTATTAAGGATTTTTTTTTCCCGTTAGTTTTTTTTTTTTTTAAACAGTTTTTGAAATTTTTCCTGTGAAAATTTTTTAGGGGAGATCCTCGGCTCCCCTCTGAATTCGATTCCAAAAAAAAAAAAAAAAACTTGGAGATTTTCATTTCGCAATAATATTTCGATCAGCTTTAAAAAAAAAAAATAATAATAATAAAAAAAAAAGAAAAGTTGGAAAAGCGTAACGGTTAGAAAGAGAGAGAGAGAAAGATAGATGAAGAAAGGAAATGATTATCGAGCGGAAAATTATGTTTAACCGAATTTTCTTTTTTTTTTCCGACGGCGGTGAAAACGGCGAGAAAACGTGATCCGAGAAAATGGTCCGACGAAAGAGTCTGCCACGTTCGAAATAGAAAATCACGGATTAAAGCCGACACCGTCGAGGGGAGGGAAGGGGGGCGGGGGCGGGATAAAGTAAAGCAATAAAACGTAATGTTTGGGAGAGGAGGAGGGGAGGGGAAAAGGGCGGTCGCCCCGAGTATAATTTTTAAATTGTCTGGTAATGGATTAAAGTTTGTGTTATTATTATCATTATTATTATTATTATTATTATTATTCGTCTGTGACCGGAATATCATCTTGAAGTTACATCAATTTTAAGTACCCCTCGAATTTTCCGTTAGAATTTTCCATCGAAAAGTTTTTCCTATTATTATTTAGTTGTTGGTAAAATAAAAAAAATTCACATCGCGTTTAGACGTGAGAGAGAGAGAGAGAGAGAGAAATTCTTTTTTTTTTTTCAAATATTTTCACGCCGCGTCTAATTAGTATTATTATTATTATTATTGAAATTTTCTTCTTTAAAAAATTATTTTGATTTAAAAAAGAAAAAAGAAAGGAAAAAATTTTCTCCGGTATTTTTTTTCCTCTTTTTTTGAATCCCGTGAAAAGTAACGAACGGGGGAACGAGGGAACGAACGAATGCTCCCTTTTTCTGGATTTTTTCCATTTAACGAAACCGTTCCAGAAAAAAAAAATTTTTTTTCGACAGGAATTCGCGAGCCGCGAAGTGGAACGCCGCGAGACGCAAAACGAGATGAAAAAAAAAAAAAAGAAAAAAAAAATTTTTTTTTTTTTTTTTGTTTTTCTTTCTTTCGGGGTTTTATTATTTAAAATTAATTTTCTTTTTAACCGGAATAAATTTTTTTTTTTTTGTTTTTTTTTGTACAAAATTGTATTTATGCGATGATAAATATTCCCCCCCGCCCCCGGAGAAACAAAGGGAGAAAATAATGGGGGAAGAAAGAGAGGGAGAGAGAGTAACGGTTTTCAAAATGGCGGGAAACGTTTTTTAGTATTTTATAAATACACGCACATTTCAAAAAGAAAATTCGACTGCATTGTTTTTTTTTTTTTTAATAAACTACAAAAATCATAACAAAAAAAACTGAAAATGAAAATTTAATAATAATAATAATAATAATAATAATAATAATAATAATAATAATAATAATAATAATAATAATAATAATAATAGGATCGAGGCGAAAGGTTTATTATTATTATTATTAAATAAGATTTCGTCTGTCGTTTACAACGATTTAAAATTTTCGTATAATAATAATAATAATAATAATAATAATAATAATAATTTTTTGTCGTTTGCACCGTTTTTGTGAAAATAATAATAATAATAAAACAACGATGACAGATGACGGGGAAAAAAAATCATTATCATCATCATCATCATCGTTTTTTTTCTAAGTATTTATTATTATTATTATTATTATTATTATTATTATTAAATTATTTAAATTTTTTTTTAAATATTTATATTCATCGTTTTCCCGCCCCCCGCCCCTTACGATTTTCCATTTTGCTTTTCTCACTCTCTCTCTCTCTCTTTCGTATTGTATTTAGCCACTGCTGTGTGGGACCTTTTTGTCTTTTCTTTTCTTTTCTTTTTTTTTGTTTTGTGTGTGTGTGTGCGCGTGAAAGTCACGCCGCATCGCCGAGTTTTATTCAAAAGGCGAAAAAAAGGGCGTTTCCCCGCCAAGATTTATACACGGTGTGTAAACTGTTACACCGTCTTGAAATTTTCTCTTAAATCATCATCATTATCATTCGCTCTCGTTTTTTTTTTGTTATTGTCATTATTATTATTATTATTGTTTCTGGTATTTATTCGTTCAATCGAAAACGATTAACCGGAATAAAGGGAGGGAGGGGGAGGAAAAAAAAGGTTGTTGTTGTTGTTACATTGAATTTAATCGAACGTGAAAATTTGAAATCAAAAAAAAAGGAAAAATGTGGGGGGTGGGGGAAAAAAGGTTCATGTGGCACAATCGTTCCGACAGAAAAAAAAAAAAAAAAGAATTAATTATTCTTGCTCATTGAATCGAAGAAATTTTTTCGAAAGCGGATTTTTTTTTTTTTTTTTTTTTTTATTTTCGATTGCGTGTTAGGAATATCACAAAAGGAAAAAAACGCTGTGGGAAAACTATTTTTGAAAAGAGATAACGCCCCCCCTTCCCCTCTCCTCCCCGCGCACGTTCGACCTTTTTCTTTTATTGGGGGGGGGTGGGAAAGGGAAAAAAGTGGCGAAAGTAGTGAAAGAAGAAAATCTGGCGTGTAAGGTTTGGTTTATTACAAGTAATTAATTAAGAATCAATCAATCAATCAATCAATCGTCGATTGGAAAAAGTATCGGATTATATATCGGGAACTAATTGGATTTAAATGGGAAACGAAAGAAAGAGGAAGTTGAAGTGTCACTTCCGGTTTAACTTATTTTAAAAAAAAAAAAAATTTGAGCGGCGTGAATTTTTTTTTTTTTTTGGTTATTTTAGGGCGAGCCTTTGTCATGTGCGAACTTTTCGCCTCGCCTTTTTTTCACACGTGCAACGATCGCGGATTATTATTATTATTATTATTATCATTTCGTACCTGAGATATTCTCTCGAAGCAATCGACTCCCATGATGGCTCCTTTTTTATCATATTTTAATTTTAAAACCGTTTTTCTCTCTCTCTCTCTCTCTCTCTCGCGCGTTTGTATGTGTTTTTACTCCGACGGTTTTACGACGGTAACTTTTTCGTTTGCCATCGAGGTCCGATAATATTTCGAAACACGGTTTATTCGAAAATGATTCGCGTTGATGGGTTTGTAACCGTTTAACGGTTATAATTGGATGATGATCCGTTATTTTCTGTCGTTTCGCACAAAGGTATCGTATTTTTCCCGCGAGCGCCAACATTTTTCCACGCAATTTTCACGCAAGTTGATTTAAAACGATTTGAATGAAAGGTGACAACGAACATGTTTTCGACTTTTTAGAAAAAATAAAACAAATTATTATTATTATTATTATGAAAACAATCGAAAAAAAAAAAAAAAAAAAAAAAAAGGGACCCGTGTGTGTGTTATCCGTTCGTAAGCACACTCCCCGTTAACGAAATGCGTCAGCAATCGATTTATCTAGACGTTTGACCTACTAAAAAGCACAGTTTCCAAAATGGACCAAAAAGAAACAACGTTCGACGAGACATCTGTTAGGGGATAAAGAAAATGAGGGGGGCGTGTGCTCGAACGTTGTCGCGTATGCGCAGCACGGGTCACGTATGAGACACGGGGAGGCTACGAGGACACGCATTATAAAATAAACGTCAAGTCGCGCCCTCCGTTTCACTCACTCATTCATTCATTCATTCATTCATTTTTCTTTTTTCTTTTTTTTTGGTTATCTGTTGCAGAAAAGAGACTAAAACCGATCGTCGTGTTGCGTGACGTCGCTAAATCGAAACCCGAATCCCGCCGTCACGAGTCTCGATGCGGTAAAATAAGAGTCAGTAGTAATAATAATAATAATAATAATAACAACAACCACGGCGACGTGACGGTGAAAACGAAAAAAAATTCGAACGTAAACGAAAGGGTAGAATGCAAAAAGGATTTGGATAAATCATCATCATCATCATCATCATCGAATCATCGTTTGAACGTCGAGACGAATAAGGAGGAAGATTCGGAAAAAGATGATTACGTCACGTGGGATACGGATCAAGAGTACGAAGTTGAAAAAATATTGGGTCACAGGCGTAATAAGAAAAATCAATTCACGTACCTCGTCAAGTGGAAAGGTTGGAGCGACGCGTTCAACTCGTTCGAACCTTTGGAAAATTTAACCGGATGTAATTATTTACTAATGAAATATTATAGGAAATTTCGATCGACGACGAATCATACGATCGAAGACGTGAGGAAAAGAGTGCAGGAGGGCGTGGAAACGTACGAAGTTTACCAAAAGTTAATGCGTGACAATTTCAGCAGGGAAAGCATAGACGAATTTTCTCGGGATCACGTCAACGTCGTCGAACGGATATTCGGAACCGAAACCGATTTCGAAGAATGCGAAAAATTCATAGGGGAAGAATACAAGTATTTGTTGGAAGCGATGACGAGCGCGACATCATCATCATCATCCGTCGACGTCGACGACAAACTGTGCCGAAGAGTTTTCGATTACGATATTTGTTTGAGATTGATAAGTCGAAGGCGGAAACAGTTACGAGAACTCGCGACGTCCGAAGCCAAGATGAACAATTTCGAAGACGTGGGCGTCAAAATCGAAAACCACGTGGATTTAGATAGTTTTCCGAACTTTGTTTACGTCACGAAATTACAATGCGCGGACGACGTCGTGTTTCCGGCGGATCCGCCGCTGGGATGCGATTGTTCGAGCGGTTGCAGCAAAGATTCGACGTCTTGTTGCGGTCGTCTCGCGGGTTTTCAACTGGCCTACAATTCGAACAAAAGGTTGAGAATACCCGAAAGGGAACCCATTTACGAGTGTAATAAAAAATGTTCGTGTTCGTCGAATTGCGTGAATCGCGTCGTACAGTCGGGTCGACAAGTCGAATTGTGCGTTTTCAAAACTCCCGACAAAGGGTGGGGAGTGAAAAATTTAAACGACAGAATACTCAAGGGAACGTTCGTTTGCGAATACATAGGAGAAGTCATACCGCAGTTCGAAGCGGCGAAAAGAGACGTGGAAAACGAGAAGAAAAAGGTATCGTACCTGTTCGATTTGGATTTCAATCCGGATCACGAATCGGAAATGTATTCTATCGACACGTACAAATACGGCAACGTCGCGCGGTTCATCAATCACTCGTGCGAACCCAACTTGGTCGTTTATCCCGTTTGGATAGATTGTCTAGAACCCAACTTGCCCAGATTGGCATTTTTCGCGAAAAGAAACATCGGACGAAACGAAGAGATAACTTTCGATTATTGTTGCAGAACGGAAGACGGAAATGGATCCATCGTCGATGCAGACGACGAACAAGAGGAAAATGGAAAATTAAATAACGGTAAGAAAACAATGTCGAAAATTCGTTGCGAGTGCAAAGCTTCTAATTGTCGGGGTTGGCTTTTTAAATAATAATAATAATAATAATAATGGCGGCGTGCGAATTGAAATTTCCGTCGGCATTCTCTCGTTTATAAAAATCATTTTTTCGTATGAATGATTACAATTAACCCCCCGCCCCCTTTCACTTCACGTACAGTTTCCGCCAAACCGGAAAATCAAAAGAAAAAATTATCAAATCGCACGCGTCCGAAGGGAAATCGAAACGAAGAAAAGGGAATCATAAAAATAGTAATAATAATAATAATAACAGTAACGATGAGATTTTTAAGTAATTTCCCTTCCGGTTTCGACGTATCGATTTCCGTTATTTCCGTTACCCCGTAATTGTCATTTATCATCATAATTGTCACCATCATCATCATTATCATCGTAGTAGTCGTAGTCGTAGTCGTAGTCGTCGTGGTCGTAATCGTCGTGGCTGTAGTTATATTCGTTTTTTTTAATATTTTCAATGTCGTTATTATTTATTATTATTATTATTATTATTAATATTTGACGTAAGAGACTGATCGAAATTATCATTATTATTATTAAGTTTTATAGATTTATTTATTAGTGAATTATTTAATTTTAAAAAAAATCGACAACCGACGGGAAATACGAGTATTATGAAATTATTTTACACGGGAAAATTAACGTTATTATTATCATTATTATCATTATTATTATTATTATTATTATTACTAATGTATTGACAATGGGAAGATGTATCATTCATCCATCTCGCGAATGTTTTAAATCATGTTATAAAATTTTGTCATCATTATTATTATTTAATTATTTATTTTTTTTATTTTTCGTAACGGTCGTTTTGAATACGTCACTTCCGGTTGAAAAAATAACGGTCGACGACGGGGGAATTTGTTTTAATTATAATAACAATAACGTTCGAGAAAACGTCGACCGTTAATTATTTGTTCGATTCGTTCGTTTTAGGGAAGGGGGGAGGGTGGGGGTGTTGGGAGGGGAAATTAATGGCGCAGTCGAATATTTTCAGTCGATTTTTTTTTAAGAAACGTTTTTTTTTTTTTTACCGCCATTTTTGTTGTTTTGTTTTGTTTTTAATTGTATTTTGATTGTCGTATCGAACGTCGTGTGAAAAGAAAAAAAAAGGATGAAAGGAAAATGATGATGGGGATATGGGTGGAGGGGAGGGAGAAGGGGGAGGGGTCGTTTTAATTTTGTGTTGTATTTTTTTAACGGTTTTTTTTTTGTTTTTGAATTGTATGTTTGTTGTGAAAATGCTCTTTTGTTTTATTTTATTTTTTTTAATTTTTTTTAATTGGTTTTTTTTTATTTGAATAATTATACGAGTCACGTGATTTGTAATTTAATTTATTATTATTATTATTATTATTTTGTAATGAATATTGTGTAAAAGGTGTGAAAGAGAATGAATGATGATAATATACATAAACATTCGTGGAGATTTTATTATTATTATTATTTTTTTTTTGTCAAACTTTGTCATGTCTTCGATCGAAGCCATTTTAATTATCGCAATTATCGTTTTCTCTCTCTCTCTCTCTCTCTCCCCCTCTCTCCTCCTCTCTCTTTCACTCGTTTGTTTAATTTATTATGACGATCGAAAAAGAAACAAACAAAAAAAAAAAAAAAAGTGGAAGAAACGATTGCGAAAGGTGAAATCGTGAAAATCATTAACGAAGATAAGATGGGGAAGGGAAGGGAAGGCGAAGGAGGAAAGAGGGAAGGAAAAGGTTAAAGTTCACCTTTTTGTCGTAATGATTAAACAAAAGGCAATTAATTATTAGTAATTATAAAAATTTTAAAAATGACGTCACACGCTCCCGCTCCCGCCGTCGCATCTCAATCGTCAAACAAACAAACAAACAAACAAACGAACGAACAAACGAATAAAAATGAAAAATAATAATAATAATAATTTGATAGGCTTTCGCTTAGATAAGCTAATAATAATAATAATAATAATAATAATAATAATGAAAAGCCTGAAATGAAAAAAAAAAAAAACAATTAATTAAAAAATTTAATAAATAATTTAACGTTTTTTTAAACGAATAATTTTTCTTTCTTTTTATTTTATTTATTATTATTATTATTATTATTATTATTATTATTTATATTATAATCATTTATTATTTTTATTTCTCTACAATTAATATTTACAAAAATTTTCCTTTTTTCTTCAGAATTTTCTATGCGTTAGTTAATAATAATGATAATGAGGTCGTTCGTTAATCGACTTGTAAATAAAATAAATAAATAAATAAATATATATTTTTTTTTGTGTTTATTTATATACGGGTATTAATAATATCGTTACGAGATTTCACGGTTGCCAAGACTGATTGATTGATCGATTGATCGATCCATCGATCGATCGATCGATATATCGATTCATCACGTCGAGAATCCTTTATGTTTTCTTTTGATTCTCGCATAGGGTCCAATGTCCGGATCCATGACGAAATCGTACAAGACTCCAGTCCATGAATTATGCTGTGGTAAATTATCATAATATTCCGGAGCGATTTTTTTCACCTGGAATCGTCAAAACAAAAAAAATTATTCGAACGGTTGCGAGTAGGTCGTGACCTTTCCTCCTCCTCCTCCTCCTCCCCCCCTCATTTACCTCCGGTAAAAGGGAACCGGGTACGGCGGGAAAATCGTGGTGCTCGTTATGATAACCCACGTTGAAAGTTATCCAATTGAGAGGACCGTAATACGAATACGTTTCAAATCCTTTTTTGAACATGTAATGTTCGGATATGAAATGACCGGCGACCGGATGTAAACCCATCGCGAGTAAGGATCCTATTGTGAGATAAGCGAGAACTTTTCCTCCTGCGAAAGAGAGAGAGAGATAGATAGAAAAATCACAACGTCAACGTCGTTTATTTATTTAGAGAGAGAGAGATATATATAAAATAAAATTACCAAAATAATAATAAACGAAAACGTCGAAAATCAATTGTATGACGACGTTGATCAATTCCAACGTCGTCGGAGATTTCGGATACGTAAATATGGGTCTAAGAGCGTAGAAAAGAGGTTGGAAAAACAACCAAACGAATTTTCCAAACGTCGTGCAAAATAATTTCGCTTCTAAATACGTCGGAATATCCGTGTCTAGTTTTTCGTCTCCTTGATACTGTAAGAAAAAAGGAAAACATTTTTTGTTTACTTTTTATCGAAGCCCCCCTTCCACGTGTCATTCCACCCCCCACACACACACGTACCCTGTGATGCTCCAAATGGTATATTTTAAACGTCACCGAAAATGGAAACCCAATGACTAGATTTGTAAACATACCAAAGATTCTATTCGCAAGAGGTCTTGCATGACCGAAAGCTAAATTATGAGAGATTTCATGTATGGCTAAAAGAAAGAGGAAAAAATTTTAAAATTTAAAATAGCCAATCAATCGGGATTGAAAATTTGAATTAAAATTTTCAGGTATGTACCTAACATTAATGAATGATTAATGACTCCACCGATGCAATATGCAGTTAAGAGAATTATCGTCCAAGATTGATTCACCATTAAATGCATTAAAACAACTTGAATGCTAATCATTAATAAAACTATCCACTTGAACTTTGGATCATAGCCGAATAATTTTTTTATTTGTGGGTACTTGGCTAAAAAAAAAAAAAAAAAAAAGAAAATTATTAAGTTAAAAGGCGAAGAAAAAGTCGAAAGAAAAAGAAAAATTTTTTTTTTTTGCATTCAAAGTTTGTTTAATCGACATTATCTCTTTTTTTAAACTTAGTATTATTTATACATGGTATCAATTTGCTCGAGTTTATTGTGGAAAATAAAAATAAAAGTACAAATGAAGGTCAAAGACAAAACAATACAAAATTGAAACATACTCTTGTACTTGTATTCGCTCGGTTTAAATATGCTTGTTTAATAAACAATATAACTAAATAATATATATATATATAGTTTTACAATCTGATGGAAATCACGGTCACGTTTTTCCTTTTTTGTTTAAAATTTCAACGACCTATATCTTGAATGGAAAAAAGAATAATAATAATAATAATGATTATGGTTGATAAATATTTGATTATTCGAATCGAATTCAAAACGTTTAAATAAACGATATTAGTAATGATATGAATATTATTATGGTTGGAATTTAGAGTTTTTGTAAGGTAATATGTAAAATAATGTAATAAATGCATTTGGAAACGTTTAAAATGTAATAAATCATGTGAATGTTTATGTTAAAAGTATATAACCCACCCAGTATTTCTTTACGCCGACTGGCGTGAGGTTCTTCCGTGTAAACCCATTCAAAATCCGTTCTTGTAACTGCCGCACCCATATTGTAATATCATCTAAAAAATTTAAACTTTTACAAAATCATTAAATTAATAAATAAGTAGAAGGAATATGAGAGAGAGAGAGAGAGAAAAACTAAATTACAAATACATAATTTCACCGTAACTGAATCGCCATGACTGAAATGATGAATACCGTTGTAAATTTTTCTATTATTATTCTAATGACACGAAAAATTTTTAAGCGGGAAATTAAAACGGAATTTTATCCAATGGCTTACACTGAATTTTTTTTTTTTTACGCGAGTGAATTTACGTTACGGGGAAATATTTTTATTAAAATAATATTTATAATGGTTAAAATTTAAAATTAAAACATTTTTTAGAAAAAAATAAATAAATAAATTGAAGTAAAAAAAAAAAAAAATAGGAAAAAAAATTCATTTTTGAATTTTTATTACCGAACCGCCGTCGATCAAGTATGTCTTCTGCTCGTTGTTTGAATTAAAGGTTTTTATTACACTGTACAGTTTTTTTTTTAAATAATAAAACAAAATGTTATTTTATGTTAATTTAAAAATGTAGTTTTAATTATTGTAAATATAAATTTATATAATTCATTTTAAATTATTCCATTTTTTTTTTATTAAAAAGATAAGAAGAAAAACATTTGCTAAGAGAAAAAATATTTTTTATAATGTCGTGATACTTACTCGTTAATGATTTATTGCCTTTTTTTTTTTTTTTTTAATTTGAAACAATGTCTTCTTTTAACGAAGTCGATGTTTTTATTAGTAATTACACTTTAGTAGATCCAGAAGTTTATCAACTTTGGGTGGAAGGACATTCGTGTAAGTTGTTATTATCATTGATTTTAACAAATTTGATGAAACAAAAAAAAGAAAAAATTATCATAACCTAAATTATTATTTAAATGAAAAAATTTCAGCTACAGAAGCAGTTAATACATTAGAAAGCAGAGAAATTGTTCAACAAACAGGTGCTTCATTAGATTTAGTCGAATCAGATGTTTTAGATCATTATAGAACTTACAATTTACTCGAAAAATTACTTCACAATCCGATTAAATTAGCCGAGCAACTGTCTTTTCAATTAGAACCACAAACACAACAATTACTGATTGAAAAGTAAGATTTTCTTTTATAATTAGGTTCAAGGTATTTTATCTTGTCTTTTTATATTCAATGGAAATTTTTTTTTTTTTTTTTTTTTATCATTTTTTCATACCATAGAGTATAAAGTCATTTGTTCTTGTCAAATTTGTTTTTCTATGTGGTTTTATCCCGATGAATTTTCATGTATTTTTAATTACCTTACCTAAAAAAAAAAAAAAAATTTCACACATCATCATCTCACTAACAAATAATTATTATTATTATTATTTTGTCGGTTTAGGTATTATGAATTTGATGATTCTGTAATTAGAGAATTATTGGGTAAAAAATTATCATCGAGACATAGGAAAGATTTGGATGAAGTCAGCGATAAAACCAATGTATTATTGAAATCATGTCGTAGGCAATTTGACAATGTCAAAAGAGTTTTTAAGACTGTCGAAGAATTAACTGGTAACATGGTACAAAACATAAAGAGTAATTTTTTATTATCAGACGAATTGAGCAGGTGTGTTTGTCTCCATTCAAATTTTTTTTTTTTTTTTTTCAAATAATTTTCTTTAAGATGATGAGAATAAAATTTTTTTATCATTTAAAATGTAGAAAATATGGTGCCATTGTTTTTATCGCTTGCGTCAGATTTGAAACATCTAAAAGAAAATTACAATATTTAACCTTTTCCGATTTTTATCACTGTGCCATGGCGATCATGAATAAATGGACTTACAGAGATGCATTTCCTGAATTCGATTTGGACAGAGAATTTTTATTAGATTTAAGAGATGTGAGAATACTTTCAGAGAAAGAAAGAGAACACAAACAGTGAGTGATTATGTTATGTTTGCACATGCACAAGCATAAAACAATTAATTAATAAATCATTTACTAATTTTTTAATCATTTAGTTTGGTATGTAATAGATTAAAACCGACGTTGCTGGAAAGATCTTACGTGGAATTAGAAAATAATTTTAGATCTTATTCGAGAGCCATTGTTGGTTTGGCATGTAACTTACACAGATCGAGAGAATTAAGGTGAATTTTGAATTTGAATTTCGATTTGTATAAATTTCAAGTTAAAAATCTTTTTTTTGTTTTTAATGTCAGATCCCTTTTCGTCGAGCTCGTGGAAAGATGTATCGAACCGTGGAGACAAGTTTCTTGGTCTCATTCTGATTTGAAAAATTTCTTATTAGCTTATGAACAGTGTGCTATCGAAATGGATGTTTTAAGGTAGAACATTTGAAATGGCGGGGGGAGGGGGGAGGGGAAATATATAGACATAAGAAAATGCGAAAAATTTTTACAGGGAAGGTGATTTAAAAGCTGCTTGGGAAAGATACATGACAACGATATCATATTGCTTACTTAGAATGTATCATTAGTCAATTACAACGAGAAAGAAAGAAAGAAAACTTATCGAAAAGTATATAATTTCAAGAGTATTGAACAAGGATAGAGGATAGGGTAAGATGATCATGAACAAAATTGAATCTTATTTTATTTTATGTATTAATTTTAATTATTAATTTTAATTCGTTTTGTTATCGACTTTTATCCTGTTGTAAAAAAAAAAAAAAAAAGAAATTATTTGTATCACGTTTGTGCTGTTGACGTGGTGCGTTTGTTTGTTTGCATGACTGATCCTCCTGATAAGTCTCTGTAAGATTGTAAAAATATTATTTTAAATTTGTAAAAAAAAAAAAAAAAAATTTGTATGTAATTATACAAAGATTGATTGTGTGTGTGTGCGTGGGTGTGGGTATGCGTGTGTTTGTGTCACCGTGTACAATTATATTTTATATAAATTGTAAAAAAATGTATTTAAAGTTTTTTTAAAGAAAAAAAAAATTATTTTTGTACTTTGAAAAATGTTATATAATTTTACTCGTAAATTTTTTTTTTCTCTCTCTCTCTCTCTTCTCCCCCCCTCCCCCCACGAATTAATATTTTTATTAATTTTGTTATTGTTAATAATTAATCACGTTTATGTTTTTTAATTTTTTTTTTTTTTTTTGTTATTTCTAAAACATTTATTTATATGCTTATTTGTTATCGTTATTCGGTGAAATCATATTTTATTTATTATAATTTTTTGTTTTTTAAATCACAAAATGATAAAAAGAAGAGGAGGAGGGAAAAATGAGGGAGAAGGGGAGGTGTGGAGGTGGGAAAAGCATGTTTGATAATGTTATCGATTGAATGAATCATTTAAATTATTAACAAAATGAAAATCAAGTTGAATTTATAGGAAAAATTTATTTGCAACACATTTTCAACGAATAAATTTTTTTGTAATTTTTTAATAATAATAATAATAATAATAACTGTCATAATTTATTATTACTTAATTTAAAATTTAAATTAAATTTATTTGAATATTAATTATATATTTAAAAAAAAAAAAAAAAAAATTTAAATGAATGTATAATATAAAATTGAATGATGTCGTTCGGATTGAAAGTTTTTTTTAAAATGTTTACGAGTCACATAAGTTTTTTTCTTTTTTTCTCACACACATATGCGTATATATTTATGTATACATAAATAAATTTATTAAATTTATGGTTTTTTTTGTTGATTTTAATAACTAAAATCTTCAAAACATAAATCTTTTTTTTTGTTTATACAAACATAAAATGATTTTCCATATTCATTCCAATAAATATTTATTTATTAACTTGAATTTATTTTTAAAAAAAGTGAATTTTTTAGAAAAATTGTTATAAAAAAATTATTAAAAATCAAAATATTCAATAAAAACAGGCAACAAACAAACAAACAAACGAACAAACAACAAATCAATAAATGAAATTCTTTGTTATCCAAAATAAATAATTTTTTTTTTAATAAATAAAAGTTTAAACAATTAATTAAATACTTATAATTTTAAATTAAATAATAAATAAAATATAATAATTAAATGAATTTTAAATTTAAAAACCGTTACACGAATGTGAACAAACAACAACAACAAACGTCGTCCATCATTAAATAAATTTAAAAAAAAAAAAAAAAAAAAAGTTGAGCAGTCGCTCCGTCGTTTCATTATTATTGATCTTGTTTTACGGGTTAAAATAACAAAAAATTGTTTATTTTATATTTTAAACAGTATAAATAAAATTTAAAAAAAAATTTTTTTTTTTTTTTGTTTAAATTTTATTTCCATAAATAACTGGATAGTATTTTAAAAAAAAAAGATTTCAAATTTTTATTAATTAATAATAATTTTTTATTTAGAGGTACATTTATTTATTAGAAATAAATGATTGCGTATATTATAAAAAAAAAAAAAATTTTTTTTTTTTTTTTTTTTGTGTGCGTTTTTAAAGGATGCGTTAAATTGGTTTAAAATTTTATGTATTAAATCGTTGAGGGGGGGGGGAAGTGAGAAAAAAGAAAAAATCGATAGATTTACGTCGTTACGATTTGTATTTCTTTTTTATTATTAAATTATTTTAATTGAAATATTTTAAAAAATTTTGTGTTTTCATAATCATATGACAGAATAATTTACCGGTGGATTTAGTGGTTTGCAATGTATTAGAGCTCCCCCCTTGGAAAAAAAAAAAAAAGTTTTTTATAATTTTTTTCTCTTTTTTTCCTTTTTTTATTTGAAATTGTTTTCTTTTAAAAAAGAATTTTATTATTTTTGTTATTTAGCATGAATAATAGCAGCATAGCAGAACAAGAAGATCTCATCAAAGATTCTTTATTCGCTTTGGTGAAAAATCATATACCAACAGCTCAAGTTTCCGATATTGATGAAATTGTACTCACATATGTTGTGAGTATATTAGAAGATTTAGGAACAGAAGTTGATGTCGAGGTAAAAAACCCAAAAAAAAAATTCTTTTTTTATATCATCATCCAATAAAATTTTTAAATTATTTTTGTTATTAATTCAGGATGCATTCGATGTCGAAGGTTTTTGCGAAATGTTATCAGCTTATTTACCTGATTTTGTAAATATCGATCATGGAAGCGTTTGCGATTGGATTTTTCAACTTTCATCAACATTGAGTCAAAAAAAATTTAAAGGTAATACATAAATTGTTTTGTTTTGTCCTTTTAAAAATCAATTAATTTCATCTTTCATTTGTTTTTCAATAATAATTTGATCATTCTTTAAAATAATTCTGTTTTTAACAGTAAACAATAACCAAATCATTATTATTATTATTATTGTGTTTATTAATTATGTGAGATAATAAGAGAGCAATTAACAATTATTTGTTTTTGTTATTGAATTTTTATCAATAAACAATTTTAAACTAATGAGATGTGTGTGTGTGTATGAGCACATACATAACTCGTAATGAGTTTATTTATCTCAAAATTATCATCATTCTCTCATTATAATCGATAGTTAACAATCGTCTTTTTTAAATAAGAAACATTTAAAAGTTTAATAAGTAAATTTTGTCTATTAACTTTTATATAATTAAATAAAAATTATTTTTGGTCAGATAAATTTTTTTTATTCAAATTGTAAAAGAAGATAATTTGAAATGAAACGAAACGAAATGAATTTTTGAGCGTGACATGAATTCGATTTGAATTTTTTAAAAAATTATGGATGATAACTAAAAATTATGAAGAAGATTCATAACTACAAAACTGTATAAGAAATGAAGTTGAGTTTTTGTTTAAACAAAGTAAATAAATAAATCTTAATAAAATGTTAATAAATTTAATATTAAAAAAAAAAAAAAAAAAAAAAATTTCGAATGTGGGTCGATTAATTGTTAAAATCAATTTTTTGTCTGTTTTATATTACATATCGATTGATTGATAATAATAATTAATAATTTAAATATTATTTTTAGATGATTCAGAATCTGATAAAGAAATTGCTGATATTTCATTAAACAGATTAAATTTATCTGGAAGTTTGTCATCATCTGGTAGATCAAGACACAGTTCATCTGAATGTAGTAATTCTGAATATAATATCGATTTGAAAAAGAGAAATCATTTATTGAGTGAAGCAAGCGATGCAAGCAGTGATTCAAGTTGTGATTTTTCAGGACAGGAGGTTACATTTGTGAACTTTTATACAATGTTGTCACATTTAATGTAAATTTTAAATAAAAAAAATGTTTTTGTTTCCTAAACAGGATTCATTTTTACGTTCAGAAGTTCAAATGCTTCAGGAAATGTTTCCGAGATCAAGTTTGATGGAAGTGAGACATTGTTTGGCTGTTGCTGATGGTGATGTTGAACGTGCAGCACAAATTGTTTTACACAGACAAGAAGCAGGACAAAGCATAAGTCACAGTGTCAATTTACTTCAGGTTAATCTTTTTTTACCTAACCTAATTAACTAACCCTAACGCAATAAAATAAAGTAAAAAATTTTCTGTTTTGTTTTCCAGCCCATTTCACAAAGGCAACGACCAACGGTTAACGATGAAGAATTAAAATCTCGTATCATTGCCAGGTATTCGTATGTTGATAAAAATGACGAAGTACGTGAACACAGGCCCGTGGCACCCAAATCGGTAATCTTTATAACAAATTATAAAATCCCAGAATCCGTTAACGTTAAGGTACATACCTTAACTCTCACTGCAAATTCAGGTTTCTTTCAATGTTAAATTAAAATTACAGGAACCAAAGAAACTAGTCCGTTACCGGGATAACAAAATCGTTAGTTTAAAGGGAGAAAGATTTACGGAAGTGAAAAAAGATGATGGCGAAGAACAATCTCACAAAATATTCAAACAGGGAAAAATGAAGGGACATTGATAACTGATTGCCCAAATGATAAACGTTTATGTGATTCAGTGTAAATTCTGGAAACCACCTTGAAAACAATCAACAAAAGGTTTAACACTAAATCAAACAACCTCCGACCATTATCAAATTATCATTATCATATTAATACTTTTTTCCTTTTTTTGCAGACGATTCTCGGCAACGCCTATTCGATAAACGCCTGAAATATCCCGGATAAAGTTTAGATGATGTATCCCTTTACAAAGCAAAGAATCCCCCCCCTTTCCCCCCCCCCCCGAGAGATCCCAATCAAAGATTGATTTGCAAATATGGATTTGATGTCGTTTTTTTTTTTTTAAAATCGATATTATTATCATTATTATTATTATTATTATTATTATTATTATTATTTCATTCGGTGTGTGATCGTATATTTGAGTCGATTCACATTTTATTATATGGATCGTTCCATTAAATGATTATCATTATCGGTATTTAGCCGTTAAGAAAGGTATCACGTGTTGATGATGATAATAATCATGATGATAATGATAATAATACGGTAGTTATTCGTAGATTAGTTGATAAATAACGTAGATCTTTTGTCGAAACGAAACGGAAAAAAAAAAACGCGCTCATTCGAAAACAAAAAAAAAAAAAAAACTTTACTCGTGTAGTTTATAGACGTGAAATGATAATAATAATAATATTATTATTATTATTATTATTATTATTACGGTTCGATATT